ACAGCCCTGCTTGTCTGGACCAGCTCTGCCTGGCTGCTTGGTGTCCCTGTCCTTGTCCTTGTCCTCCCCACAGCCCGGCAGTGCCCCCCATCCCAGCACCTCGCCCCCGGCCAGCCCCAGGACTGATCCCGGTGCCAGGATGGGATCCCGATGCCCTCTAGTGCCCAGGGGCCCAGGCAGCTCCGTGGCCATGGATTTTGGGCATTGCCCAAGCTGTGCCCCGGGAGCACCGGGGGCTGCGGGACCCCAGCAGCTCCAGCACAGGGCGACCCCAAACTGTGCCCTTGGGGTTCCCTGTCGCTGATGCAGCATGATGGCACAGACCACCCACCTTCCGAGTGCCCAGAACAGAGGTTTCACCCATCTGGGTCAAGAGCAGGAGCTCCCCGGGAATGTGATTTAGAGCCAGGGGGACACGGGGCAAGAAACTGAAACAACGAGCGCGGCTGGGGAGAGGACACGGCTGCCAGCAAGAGCCTGGTCTGGTCAGTGCGTGGGGGCAGCGACCACTCCTCACCCTCGCAGGGAGCAGCGGGGACAGCCTGGGCAGCGCCAGGTGACATCGGGCGTCTCCAGCGGGGTAGGACTGCCGCGACTTCAAAAACAGCCACCAACAAACGCCCATACTTTACGTGTCTCCCATTGCCCCAGTACCCGTTCGGGCAGGAAGACAGGCAGCACACGAGGGATTTAGAGGTTAAGACCAGCCTGGCAGGAAAGTGAAACCCCCTCAGTATTGCAGAGAGCCCAGCACGCAGCAGCTCCGCTCGCGGCCGCGGCCGCGCCTGACAGGAAGTGGCGGAGGGGATCTCATGCTTTATATAAATTCTGCCGAGCTGTGATTGGCTGAGGGCAGGAGATGGCGGCGCGGGATTGGCAGGGAGCAGCAGCCCCTGCCGCGGGATTGGCCGGCGTTTGCGCGCGGGGGTTCCGGCCGGACCCGCGGAGGCCTCGAGGGACACTCGGGGACGCTCGGGAGACGCTCGGGAATACTCGGGGACACAGGGGGGGACAGTGGGGGACACTCAGAGACACTCGGGAGTACTCAGGGGACACTCGGCGACACTGGAGGATATTCGGGAAGACTCGGGGGACACTCAGGGGACGCTCAGGGATGCTCGGGGGACACTCGGGGGTCCCGGACCTGCTCCCCCCCTCGGCCCGGGTCTGGCCCCACCCGGCCCCTCCAACCCCGAGGGTTGAAGCCCCGGCTACGGGGCCGGTGCTTTGCCCCCACGCCCCCATCAGCCCCGGTACCGGAGCGGGAGAAGGCGGAGACGAGCCCGAGGTGTCGGCACCAGCGCGTTTATTGCTTTGCTCCCCGAAAGCGGGGGCACGAGGGCAGCGGAGGGCGGCAGGAACGGGAGCGGTGCCGTCCGGGGGATGCCACCTCGGGGACGGTGTTCTCGGGGCCCCAGGGACCCTCCGGCTCAGCGCAGGTGCAGCAGGAGCGCTGCCAGCACCCCCAGGGCGATGGGCAGGAGCGGGGGGCTGGCGCAGGGCGGGCTCCGGCTGATGCTGCTCGTGACGTTGCTCGGGGCAGCATCTTTGGGAGGATCATCCTTGGCCTGGCCGAGGCGCTGGGAAAGAAAAAGAGTTTGAGACATCCCTCCCAACAGCAGCAGGGCGGGGAAAGCCCTGAGACCCCTCACAGGATGGTCCTGGGGGCACAGGAGCCCCCGGTGCCCCCAGTGCCCCCCCCCAAGCAGGACAAACAGCCTCCTGTCCCCTGGCAGGTTCCCTTTCACACCCAGGCTCCTGGATTTGGGCTCGTTCCAACGCTGGGAGGGAAGTGAGATCTCCCTGAAATGGCTACGCTGCTTCTAACCAGGAGGGTTTTAGAATTTAGGGGGGAAGTGGAAGCCGGGGAGTGGTCTCTGCTCCTCCGGTTCTGCGAGGAAGTGGAGAGAAGGTGACGGGTCACAACCCTGCAGCACAACAAGGTGGGGTGTGGGAAACGCCCGTGCTGGAATCGAGGGGCAGGGGGAGGAGGGACCCCCGACCCCGGGCTGGGGCTAACAGGACGGTGTGTGAAATTCAGCACCATTTCAGGGCAGTTTCTTTCCCTCTCTAACACCACCCTGGCTGCTGGAAAATGCTGCCGTGTCCCACTGTGAAACACACTGTCCTACACCCCTCCTCCAAGTTCCTCCAGAAATGGGGAAGGACCAGGAATGGGGCCCAAAACTCTGCTCCGCCCCTTCGCCTGGTTTACAGAGGGGGAATCGCAAAATGTAAATGTGCAAATGCACCCTGTGGAGCCAGCAGCAGTGTGGGACTCCATGTGAAATAAGTGAAATGAGTGAAATAAGCACAGACAGATCTGGCCCCGTTACCAATATATTGTCGGGGGGGAAAAAACCAAAAACCCAAAAAACCCCAAAAAACAAAAAAAACCCCAAACCCAAAACAACAAAAAAACAAACAAAAAAAAAACCACCAAAAAAAGAAAACAAAAAAAAAACCCCCAAAACCCCACAGAAACAACAACAGCAACAACAAAAAAAACCATCAAAACCCCAAACCCAAAAGCAGCCCCAAGGTGCCTCATGCTCCCCAAAAGTGCCAGTGGGTTCATCCCCACCCACCCAGAACCGAGCCCCCCCCGGCCCCCCACGCTCAGCATCCCCAGAAGGCACGGGCTGGGCAAAGGAGATGAGCTGGAGAGCTCAGCGTGGGGGTTACAGAGCTGAGAGCTACCCTCAAGTTAAGGAGAAGCTTCCAAAAAGCACCACATGGAAGCCTTTGGACCTTCCAGAGCACAAAGCTCTTGGTAAAATCGCAGCGGGTAAAGTCAAAGAGAAAACCAAAACCAGAGATTTTTCAGCCGAAGGCAGAAACTCCCCCCTCGCCCAAACCTTCCCCACCGCTGGGCACAGCTGGCTGACCCCAGCCTGTCCTTACCAGGCACAGGGCGAGCAGGGCGAGCAGCAGGAGCAGGCGGGCACGCTGCAGGGGCGGCATGGCCGGGGCTCGGCGGGGGCTGCGACACTTCTGACACTTCCCCCGTCTGCCCCCAGCCTTTAAGCTCGACAGTGGCACCGGCGCACCAATCACACCTCCCTTCCCCAAAAGCCTGCACGGTTTGGGGAAGTCGCCTCTGCTGCCTGTGCTGCGAGGAAAAAGGTGCCAGACGTGGCGTGGGGATCTCCGGAGAGCAGAGTCCATCCCATATCTCTACATCCCCTGTCCATCCCATTTCTCTACATCCCCCGGCATGCGAGCAGCTCCCGCTCCCTGCTCTGTGGAATGGCAGGGATAAGTAACAGAATACAGGAATTTTCAGTTCTCCTGGAGATGCTGAATAGAGTTCGAAGACTAAGTGGCAAAATAAGATAAAAGGGTGTAAAGGTGATGAACATGGCTGGAACCAGTGGAGAAATAGATGAGAAGGACTACAGAGGGTTTTTCTGCAAGTAGGTAAAAAGAAGCAATGGCACATGCCCGAATTTCAAGGAAAGGCTGAAACCCCTCAGGCTCTGCTTTTCCCTGGGGTGTCTCTGTCCTCACAGCCACCAAGGACTGAGAGTGAGTGAAACCCTCCCTGGATCACTGAGGGTTTGCAAATTGCGGCCAAGGTTGGGAGGAGCAAACCTCCTTCCCTCCAGGTGGAGCTGGAGCCAAGGTGTCCCTTGGGACTTCAGTTACAGATCCTAAATAAAGGAAATGCTTCCTTTAACCCCCCCAAATCCATCTCCTCACAGCAGATCTCTGAGCTCCCTCACCCTGCAGCGGAAGGAAACAAAAGGGATCTGGTTATTTTAGGATGGTTTGAAATGAATCAAGCCAGTGGAACGTGCCGAGGACACACAGCTGCTGTCTGGGTTCGTGCACATCATGGTGAGCTCCCTGGCAGCTTCCGCCCAAAGCTTTTCTGCAGAAAAGCTTCACCACGTTTAGCTCAGTTTTGCTCTTTGGGCAAGCTGAAACAAAAGTCTCCTGAGCACAGCCAACATCTCTGGAAGTGTCCAAGGCCAGGTTGGACAGGGTTTGGAGCAACCAAGGCCAGGAGCGGAGCCCAGGTGAGAAAACAGAGGCCGAGGAAGCAGGTGAGGCAGGCGGGAGAGGCTGCACGGCGTGAGGCGCCTCAGGCCAGGCCGGTGTGTACGTGCGGAGCGGGGCTGAGGAGGAAAACGGGATCCACTCCCAGTCCTGTCCCGGTCCCGGTATCCCGGAGAGCGCGCGCGGTGCACGCCGGGAATTGTAGTTCCCGGGGGCTACCGTGATCACCACGTGACCCGCGCCGGGCCAATCGCAGCGGCCTCCGCGTCGCTGTGGCAACCGCCCGTAAACAAGATGGCGGCGGGGGGGTGAGTGAGGGTCTGGGGAGGGCGGGGACCCCCCCAAATTCAGGTATCCCCCCCAAATTCAGATATCCCCCCCAAATTCAGATATCCCCACCACGCCCCGGGTACGCCCAGCCCTGTGAGCCTCCCCCAGGCCCTTCTCCCCTCTCACTCCCTGGTTATCTCCATTATTTGGAGCCCCTTTTTGTCCCCCTGTCCCTCAAACTGCCCATTCTGCACGGAAAACGAGGATGCATGGATTGGGGGGGACGAGCTGATCACAAAAATTTATAGTTTGGGATTTATTTTTGGGCAGATTTTTCAATTATATTTAGAAAATTAATCCACCAAGCAAACATCCCCAAAGTTAATGAAGCTGTGCTTTTTTTCATATGTTATCCCGTGTTATTCTGGCTCACAGGTAAGGCTGTTCTCACCCTTCACACAATAAATGAAGCTCTCACTCCCCTGTAAGTGTCCAAAACCAGACAAGTAAAAGGACATTTCCACATCCTAGAACACCATCTATTTTTACAGTTCCATTTAACATCACCTCCTCCCTACTCTATTTCAAAGCAAAAACTCCCATTTCGTTCCCAGTGCAGTTTGCTGCTTCTGTTAATAGCAGAGCACTGTGCTTTTTTTTTTTTTTTCCCCACTAAAACAACTCGATTTTAGCACTTTCTGCCTCTCTGTGCAAGCGTTGTGGTCTCTTTCTGCAAGCTCCACTTTGTGTTCACTCTTCCAGCTGCTGGCATTGATCCTTCCCATGGTTCTGGCTCCTGAGGAGAGCTCACACACGCCCAGAAATTTGGGAATACTGATGGCATTGATGGACCACTTGCTCCCCTCTGCCCTCTCTTTCCCTTGATATTTCTTTGCCTGCTTTTGGAGGAGCTGTGTCCTAACACTGACCTGTTTTCTTCCTTTTTCAGGAGATGCCAGGCTGTGTCCTAGGACAAGGAATTCCTGCAGGGCACCCTCCACTCGTGCTCCAGGGAACTGCACTGGAAAAGAACATGGAGGGTAAAGCCCCTCAGTGGTTTGGGGGTTCTGGGCCATCAGATTTTTGGTGACACCCCAGGACAGACCCGTTCCTGTGCCCCCTTTCTTGCACACACAGTGAGTTGGTGACACCAGGAACCGAGGGATTCCTACCCAAAACTCCCTCCCTGCTGTGGCAGACCAGGATTTCTGGTGTGGGGTCCCCTGTGCACCCCAACCCTGCTCTCAGGTATTTGTGCTTCCAGGTGCAGCTCACACTGACGTGGACCTCGTCTCCTCTCTGGTGGAAAAAATCTCTCTGTTGGAACAAAAAATAGAGAAACAAGCACAAGAAATGCAGCTGAAGGTAAAAGTCAGCCTCTTGCTGAGCCTGCTCTGTCCCCTGCCACAGGAGTTCCGTGTGGGCTCAGAAGTTCATCTGTGGCCTGCTGTTAATTACCCAAATGAGCCCTTTACAAAGCAACAGAGCAGTGGGATCGGGCCTTGGGGTGGCAGAGGGGACAGTCCCTGCTGGGACTTCTTGCAGCAGTGACCCTCAGCACCCTGGCACTAAGACCAGCAGCTCTTTGGCTTCAGAATTATTGGTTTTTCCTCCTGTGGTGGTGCATTCCCCCTTTTGTTTTCTGAAACAGCAGCTGCTCACACAGCAGAGCCATCCTGGAGCAGCCCTCTGTGCATCACTGAATAGAATAAAAACCCTCTAAAAACTTAGAATAAAAACCCTCTAAAAACTTAGAATAAGAACCCTGTAAAAGCTTAGAATAAATACCTTTTTTGTTTGTTTTGGGGTTTGTTTTTCTAAGGAGTGGCTGCAGAGATGCTGGTTTCCATTCTAGATCAGCCCCTCCCTGCAGGTCTGAGCAGGAGCATCTCGTGCAGATGGGTCACCAATTCCTGGAGTTCTCTACTTATCCCATCCCTCATTTGAGTCTAATTAAGGTGTTTGTGAGGTGATTCAGCCCCTGGCCCTGGGTGGGGTGAGAGGACCTCACCAGCCCTGACTAATTGTGCCAACTGTGCCTGGAGGTGCTGAGGGCCAGGACCTGACCCAGGTCATTGTTTGTTCTGCCCCTGAAGGACAGGAGGATTGCTGAACTCCAGGAGAGGATAAAGACTCTTCAAGAAGGAGAAGGTAAAAATTGTTCTACCTTTGGCAGCTGTGGGAGAGCTACAGAGCCCTGGGTAGGGCAACAGAGCAGGCTCGGGGACCTCTCTGAGCTGTCCTTGGCTCCAAAAGCCAGGAGCCTGTGTTGTATCTGTTACTCTGCTGTGGTGCAAACATCATTTCCTGACCTATTTTTTGTGGGCTTCTAAGTTTCCACGAGTGTGAAGCCAACCACAGACACACAAGGATTGTCAGAAAACCCCAGGGCAGTGAACACTGCAGAGTACAAACAGGCAGGAAAGCTGAGAGAAACCAAAAACCCACTTGGAGTCTCCCACAGGATTCCAGGTCCAGCCTAGCTCTAAATTGAGCCCAGCTTTCAGTGAGTCACTGAGGTCTTTCCCCCTGTTCAGTTCCCTGAATCCAGCAGCTTCCCAGCCCCAGCTGGAGCCCACACACATTTTCTGTGCATTGTGCAGAGCTGTGGTGACTTCTCCATTTCCTGAGCACAAAACACAAACGTGTTTTCAAACCACAGACACATGGTCTGCACCTCCTCCTGCACCCTGCTGCCATGCAGCCAAGGTTTCAGGATCCAGTCCAGTGGACACCTGCTCATTTTGGGCTCCTTCAGGCTGAGGGAGCCAAGCAATTTCCACTGCATGGTTGCCAATGGCACCGCTCACCTCAGCACAAAACTTGTTCACAGCTGTCTTTCATTCTGTCAGCACTGTTATCAAACCACTGCAGGGTGAATTGTCACCTCCAGCCCCTGTGTCCCAGGGGTGTGAGCTCACTGAGCACAGCCAGGTGCTGCCCTGTCTGACACAGGTCATCCCCCAGCTCTACTTTGAGCATCTACATAGAAACATCAGATTTTTCTCTTACAGATGCTTTTGGCTCATCCACCACAGAAGAACTGGAAATGAGATGCCTTCAGCTGCAGAGCCAGGTCTGGGAGATGGAGGTGAGGCTGCTCCTTTGGTTTGAGATCACTGCAGTCCCAGTTTGGCCTTTTCCAAGCTGCCCCTTTGATCACCACAACCCTTCACCTCTGAAAAGAAGGAGCAGGTTGGATGTGAGCAGCAGGGCAGGAGAAGGTTTTAAACACACAAACACCTGGGCCTCCTGCAAGCTTCGTTCTGATTCTCAGGGCTGTAGGACAGCTCAGCTCCTGCAGTCTTGGGAGGTTCCTCTGCCACTACAAATCTTTCCTCCTCCCTTTTCCCTGCTGCTGGCAGAGTCTGTCTGTGTGTCAGGGCCAAGGAGCCCCAGACAAACCTCTCCCACCTCTCTCTGCCTCTCACAGCCACAGCTGACCACCCTCAGGCTCCCACTGCCACTTTTCTGCAGCAAAACTGACCTGGCTTTCCTCCTCCAGCGGTTCCTGAGTGACTATGGTCTGATTTGGGTTGGAGAGACACGGGAGCAGCTGGAGGATACAGAATCAGCCCAGGGTGAAGAGGAGCTGTCACCAAGGAACCTCTGCAGGCCGGGTAAAGCACCAGCTCTCATGGCTCAGAGAAGGGAAAGCACCAAAACCCCAAAATCTGAGTCTTCAGAATTTGGGATCCTGTGCCAAGATCTTCACATCAATCCCTCTTAGGGGACAGAGATGTAGAGCAATCTCACAGGAGCTCAGCAGAAGGTTTAATTTTATATTCCTGTTTTTTGTACACCCTTCTGGGGGAAGAGGAGAGAACCTGATGGCTCAGCCCTTCAGGAGGAGACCTCACAGCAGCTGTTTCCTGCAGAATTCACAAACCCTGCACATTTGAGGCTTGACTGCTCTAATGACATTGACACAGAGTGGGTGGAAAACAGAATCAGGTGCTTTGTGTACACAGGAGCTGTAGTAACTTACCCACAGAGCCTGGCTCCATCAGGGAGTGTTGTTTGCTTTTCCTCCCAGCCACCACGTTAGGGTTTAATTGAGACCTGACTCTGCTGTCTGGAGTCCAAGCAGCTTTGGCAGTGTCCTTAGGAAGTGGTAGCAGAGGAAAAAAAGAAAATTATTTGGACTGTAGAGGCAATACTGGTCCTAACCACCATGCAATATTAGACTAGACCTTCCCTTAGATGCAGGAGGGGAGAGACAGAGGGAGATCAGCAGAAACAGTTTTTGGTTTCAGCTCACTGACTCTTTTCAAGGGTATTTCCACATCATCCTTTAGCAACTCATAAAAAAAGCAGAACAACTAAGAACTTAATTTAGATCTTTTCTCTCATTTTCTCTTCTGATTTTAATCTTCTGTCCCGTCACAGCCCTTTTACTGCTTCACCCTGCTACCCTCAAACACCCAGACAAACATCCTGCCTTGCTGTTTACACTGGCACCTCCTCAGCACCTGTGCCCTGATCCATTGATCCAATCTGGTTAATCCAACTCGTGCAGTTCCTCATCCTGCACGGCACAGGGGCAGCACAGGGCTCCTGAGAGGATCAGCCAAGCCCAGGAGCCCAGCGTGGGCTCCAGGAGCTGCTCTGGAGCTCTGAGCCTGCAGCCCCAGCGCTGCATCCTCAGCTCTGCCCTTGTGGTTTAGCAAGGATGTGGACCTGGCACAGAAAAAGGTTGCACCACGTTCTGCAAACGTGTGAAGGGCAAAGCACAGAAATGTCAGGGCTCAAACACACCTCAAATTCACACAGAGAAATCTGCGCAGCCATCACCCCTTCACCTGTAACTCCGATCCCTCTGCCACAGGTGAGGGCGTTGTTTGCAGAGCCCAGATTGATTTCGATTTGATCTTGGAGAACATTAAGGATTTGAACGCGCTGGTCGGAGAGGGCATTTCTCAGATCGAGCACACGCCCCGAGGGGCTCGGCTGAGGCGGCCAGAGCCCCTCCCTCTGACCCTGTACCGAAATGGGATGGTCGTGGGACACGGAGCCTTCCGGCCCTACCAGCACCCAGGGACACAGGTACGGACAGGAACCAGAGCCGTCCATCCTGCCAGGGGTGGGGATGGGGCTTCTGAGCTCACCTCAGCCCTGCAAAGGAGCCCGGCTGCTCACTGCATCCCCACCGTGCCGTGAAAGCCTTGGCAGTGATTTGTAGGGGTGGAGATGCTGTGTCTTTGGTGCAGACCTTTCTGCACGGCCACAACAGCGCAGACAGGAGCAGCCCAGCAGAGAGATCAAACACAAAGGCTGAGGTGTGACAGGAGCTCTGCTGTTGTTCCAGCAATGCCTGCAGGACATCATGGATGGATATTTCCCCTCCGAGCTGCAGCCACGCTACCCCGACGGTGTCCCCTTGCAGGCAAGTGCCACACCCAGATTTTGGCCGTGAAATCGCTCTCCTGCTTCCCAAGACAGCTCAGGTTTTCTTTCATCACTGCTGGATGGTCCCCAGAGGCAGGGCAGGTTGAGGTTTGTGGTGCTGTGCAGGTGTGGCTGGGGACGAGGGAGCACCTGCAGGAGCCGTTACAGGAAGCGTTTCAGCATCAAGGTTCAAGGGGGCTTCTGTGCCTCAGTGAAGCTGCCTTGGAACAAGGCTTCTAAGAGCACAGCAGGCTCTGTAAGAGAAGCAGAACCTGCAGGAAATTAAGAGCTGTGTCACAAAAAAGAGGGAAGAAAGTTCTCAAATAGTTCCTCCGGAAAAGCTTTTAACACGAGATGGAACAAGTATCTTTTAAAGAGGATGTCACGAGAGTTTATTTTGCCACAGTTTAAATGGATTTGGCCACCTGAGGTTCTCTTGGGTTCCAGTTTTTGATTTCTCAGAAGTGGCAAAGAGCCAAAACCACATTTGCAGGCAGAGAGCCTCAGAGGACTCAAATCTAGGTCTTGGAGCATACCTGAAATGTCAGCAGGCACAGCCAGAGGCTGGACTTTCCCTCTGCCATGGAGAAACCAGGGCACAACTGCACGAACAGGACGTGGCCAGGGCAGCTGGGAGCTGTGGAAGTTAGAGAGGTCACATGGAAGGGGGATTGTGCAAAGCTCTGAGGACTCTGGCTCCCTGTAACCTGTGCATCATTAGTTTCATTTGGGGTTTACAACTGCTGCTTGTCATTGCTGTGGTTTGCTGGGCTCTGATGCAGCAAGAGGAACTTGTGCAACAGCCAGATTTGCTTACAGGTCACTGACAGGAGGGATGTGGTGTTTCAGAAGCCAGACCTTCCAAGGACTTTTCCTGGCCTTGGCCAGGTGGTGGGTACTTCAGAATCCAACCAAGTGCAGGAGACCTCTGAGATCCCAGGTAAAATCTTAAATCTGCCTCAAAAATGCAGCTGATTCTTGAGGAGGAGGATTCTTAAACCTTCCCAGGTGGTAGGAGGGGAATGTGAGGGTCTCAGCAAGGAAAGCAACACTTTGGGTCAGGGCCTGGTGCTGCCCCAGGAGCTGGGAGCCAGCAGCACACACAGGATCCTCTCAGCATCAATCCCGCTTCACAATGAGACACGACAAGTAATAAAAGAATAGGAACTCAGCAGGTTTCCAAAAACATACTTGCCCTGTGCCTTTCTGAAAGGTCAAGCTCCTGCCACCTTCACCACATCAAAGGATGCTGAGGTAACCCTGCAGGCCTGGGGGGAGAGTTGCTTGCAAACACTGCTCCTTTCTCCTACAAATTCCTCATTCCAAAAATGTAGATATTGTCAAGCCAAATCAACCTTAACTGTACTAAATATGGGACACCAAAGGCCACAGATTCCTCATTTTGCTTCTAGACACTCACAGTCTGTGTAAGCAATATCTGACAGGGTTGGGAAGTCAAAGTCAGTCAGACAGAAAGAGAGACAGAAATCAGTGGGTCTGTGAGTGCATCACTAAATAAATCAGCACCTGAATCACTCATGAGGAGCAGCTGCCTGGTTACACACAACTGTGCTCAGTCACCTCAAGGTTAAAGCTAAATATCCCCTTTATCCAAGCATAAAGAAAAATTAAAAATTGTCCAAGCAAAAAGGAATGGACACCTACAAATACACCCTCACAAGGTGAAAAATGTCCAAGTCTGTAGAAATGGTGAGAGTCCCAGTTTTTCCCAGCAGAGCTCCCTGCCTGCTGTGCATCCCAGCTGTGCAGTGAACAGGCTGCACTGCTCTCACTGCTGCTGTTGACAATCAGACATTTCGTGGGGCACAAAATGGGACAACTTCAGGGGAGGAACCCGGGAGCTGCTGTCAGCCTCGCTGGGGTGCCGAGAGCTCTCCCTGTCGGCTGCTGCTCTCTCCTTTCACCAAACCAGCCTCTTCTGAGGGCAAAATGTTCGTCACGAAGGTCCCACACGGATGTACCTCCCCTCTGCTCTGGTAGGTCCCAAATCCTCCTCGGAGCAGGATCCCAGTGAGCTTTCCAAGCCCCCAAAGCACAGAGGGAGAGTGGGCAGTGCCCAAGGCGTGGCTGGAGCAGCATCACAGGTATGAGTGGACACCCAGACAGTCCCAGGAGGAGAGCAGGGGCCATCCCTGCTCCCTGCACCCCTTCCTTGGGCCTCTCTCAGCTCAGTGTAACCTCCCAGAGAGGCTGAACCACAGCACAGCTGGCACTTGGCACCTGCCTGCTCTCCCTGACACTCACCTGCTTTGGTTGCAGGGCTCTGATGGGCAGCAGAGCAGCAAAGAAATCCTGGTGGAAACACCTGGGCTGGCTGCCCTGGAGAGGTGCAGGTACAGACCCCCACCCCTGCCCTGTCAGATCTCCTCTTCCTCCTCTTCCATCACTGCAGGTTTAGTCCAGGGAGTTCAGCTGAGGAAGTAAATGGACTTTTCCCTTTTAGACCTTAGAAATAGTTGGACAAAAGGCCAAGTTTGGTCCTTTGGGAGAACCACTGAATTTTTCATGACAAACACGCCATATTTTACATCTCTAACAAAAAGCTTCTGTTGTTCAAAATGTCACTTATTTATGTGAAAGTTTTCCCGACAGCAAACCAAGGCCTAAGAGTGTGAAACCATTGAAAGGGCTCTTTGCAGTCATATTAAATGGGAGAACCCCTCCAGCAAACTGATGCCCAGGTGGGAGGTCTCACTAACACCATTTTCCACTCAGTCTTCTGGCAAGCCAAGACCCAAATAACAAATGAAAAAAAAACCCAAGCAGATTATTTTTAATCAAAGAAGTAGGGCGAAGCACTTACCAGACAGCCCTGGTTTAAAATGAAAAAGCTAAAAAAGCTCCAGATCCCTCTTGAAGGCACCTTCAGGCTGGGAAAGCACAGCAGCACTTTGGGCAGCGGGTTGGTCTGGCAGCCCCGGGCCCTCCTTCACCTCAAGGACATTCCCAAATAAGAAATTCCTCTGCCCTGGTTTGGTCATGGAGGCTCTGCCTGCTGAGTGGAGCTCACTCCTGGGCTGACAGGGTTTTGTGATCCTCAGGGTGAAGGCAGCTGAGGGGGCTGCAGCTCCTGGCCCCGATTTCTGCAGCCTGCGCGTCCGGTCCGAGAGCGGCGAGCACACGTACGAGCTGAGGCTGCTGCTCTCGGCCACCATCGGGGACCTGCGCCAGCACCTCGCCCACATCAGGTAGCCCAGGGCTCCCTCCCCTCCTTGCCTGACTCTGTAGAACCCCACAAAAAGCTTCTTGAGGTCCTGGAGCTTCAAACCTCGGCCTGAGCTGGGCCACAGCCCCAGCCCTGTGCCACTCTCCAGGCAGCAGTGTCAGGGTCCTGAGCAGCTCAGAGCATTTCATACCCACCTTGCCACAAAGCACCAGAAATCAACTTCTTCTGTCCTCCCAAAATTGCCATCAGATCCAGGCCCATCGCTTCCTTTGCCTCCTTCCAGCACCCACCCAACCCGTGTCACCCTTCCCAAGGTGCTGGAAGCTGAGCTGCAGCCTTTGCTTGGCTCAGCCAGCTCTGTGTCCCAACACATTTAATGCTGCACAGGGGCTCCCTCAGCCTGTTGGGGACAGCTCCAGATGGCTGAGGGCCCCCTTTGCTCTCCCCTCTCCCCACTCCTGCTGCAGGCCATGGCCCTGGCCTCGGTGTGAGCTCAGGATGAGCTCAGTGCTGCTGGGATGCTCGAGCCTCTTTCCTCCCCACTGCAGCTGTGCAGCTGCACAGGCTGCTCCGTGCCTGGCTGGCTGCAGTTTGGGCTGGAATCCCTTTTTTCTGCTCTTGCATAACCACAGCTGGATCAGCCAAAGCATCTCAGCCAAACCTTGGGGGATCCCGTGAGTAGGAGAAGATTGTGCTGTTCTTTCCTAGGGGTGGAAACTCGGACTCGTATGAGATCATCAGCACCTTTCCCCAGAGGGTGTACACGGACAACTCCAGGAGCCTGCAGGAATGTGGGCTGGTCCCCAGTGCCTCCCTGCTGCTGAGGAGGAGAGACCCCTCCCAGAAAACAGCCTAAGAGCTCCCGACCCCCAGCTCTGCACAGGGAGGGAGCTGCCTCTCACCTTACCCAACCTGGCCTGGCTGGGGACAAGGGACAGGTTTTCTTTCCAGATTTAGTTTCACTGTGCCATTACCTGGGATGGAGAAGAGCTCAGAGCAGCCGTTTGGCAGAGGGGGCCAGGCCCAGTCCTGCTGCCTCACAGTGGCTGCTGTGCCCCGGGACAGGTGAGTCCCAACACGGGGACACTTCCACGACCTCACCTGTGCTCCAGGCCTGGCTCCTGATCTCTGTGCAGGGGCACACGGGCTGACCCTGCCTAGGGGACCCTGCCAGCTTCTCTGTAGTTACTTAGCTGGGCTCAGGGACTCTGGAGCAGCAGGATGGACACACAGCCAGGGTCAGTTTGCTTTCTACACACAGCTGCTCCCTACAGATTTCACCTGCACTGGCACCAGGGGACAAACAGGCTCCGTTCCAGTCTGTGCTGGAGCTAAACCTGAAGGCCTTGAGCCATTGCAGTGCTGGGGCTGAGCCAGGCTGGACTGAGCCAGGAGATCCTGCTGCTGGGCTTCCTGTACGTGCACAGCTCCTTCCCTTGGACAGCCCCCAGCTGCAGCGGGGCCCTGGCTCCAGCCTGCCTGAGGTACCCGCCCTCCTCCTCCTGCTGGGTGCTGCAACAGGACACCGTGTCACTGGAGACGAGCATAGTCCCTCCGTGTCTCTGCCCAGCCCTGAATAAAGCATCTTCCTCCCTCTCCCGTGGGATGGGGCTGCACTTTTCCCTTTCCCTTTCCCCAGCACATTCTTCCCATTCCAGCTGTGACAAGCTCTCACTTGACTCCCAGCTGACAACACTCCCACTCATGCGAGGCAGGGCCTTTGGCAGGTTCCCTCTTCGCAGAGACCCAGCCCTCACTAAAGGCTCCCAATAAAACCCTTTCTTTCAGCTGCGATTTCCACTTCCTTTACATTTCTCTGTTGCTGTGGAAGCTCAGGGTGCCCAGAGCTCTTCCCAGACCCCCTCTGACCAGAGCTGCACAACTCAAACACAGGAAGCAAACACAGCTGCTTCCACAGCTCCCCATGAGCAGTGACTCAACCCACACAGCTCTCCCTCAGCTTCCTCCTTTTTCCACCTGCAGCAGACCCAGGAGCAGCCGTTTCCCTGCCCCTCTGGATCCTGGTCTAGGCAATCTTTGTGCCAAGGGTTTGTTTTGCATCCCCACGCCTGGCTGAGGCTGTCCCTGCCCCAGGCTGCTCCTGTCACCACGCAGAGGAGAGGAATGCTCTGGTACCTGTCACTACTGTGCCGTAGGACATTCAGACACGTCCTGGGAGCCTTTGATTAGCAGCAGCAATCTAAGGTGTTAAGATCTTTGTGTCAGGCTGCAGCAGCACGTACAACTCACTCAGCTGGAAATGACTCACAATCATGGGTAGGGTGATGTTTAACCTGTAGCCAAAATAAAACCGAATTTAAAAGAAATGCAAGAGCAGCGCTGTGAAAGGTACAGTAACATTTAATAGCATCTCGGAAGACAACACTGGTTATAAACTTGCTTTTTGGCAGGAAAACAAAATGCACTTGGTCCAGGATTGCAAAAAAGCCAACTCCAAGAGGAAAGATTGGACAGCTGGAGCATCAGCTGTTCTGGGGCAGCCCTGAGCCATTAATGCTCACAAGGGAGCCTGGTCAGGGTGGAGGGTGGCCAGAGCAGCACAGATCCCACTTCCAGCCACACCCATTTCCCAGGCAGCTCCACCGTGGTGGGCACTCAGACGCCCAATTTTGTGCAGTACTTTTGCATTAAATTAAGACAAACAAAAAACAAAAAAAACCCTTTACTTAGTTGCCATAATCTCTGCAGTTGAGATGAAGAGTGGGGAAAAAGAGGAAAAGAAAAGGAAGTGAGGCAGCAGAATTTACAATTTTAACAGCAACTGGGAGAAGTGGGAAGTACCATGCAGCCCTCAGCCCTTCCCTGCCGAGGCAGAGGAGGGGGCTGAGGGCCAGGGGCACCTCTCACAGCCCCGGAGGCTTTGCTGTTTACAGAGGCACTGGAAGCTGCCGTGAGCCAGGCCCAGCTCTGCTCACAGGCCAAGCACAGAGAGCATTCACACTTTCTTTGGATCCCTCTGAGATGATCTCGGGGTTAGGCAGGAGGGAGTCGGAGGCAGCTGCAATGAGGAGTTTTGGTCATGGGTTTTTCCCTGTGCTGGGATACAAGTCGTGGTGCCAGGACAGTGCTGACAACCTGCAGGTGGAGGTGGTCGGAGATGAGGGCGCTCAGGAATGCAGGTAGAGTCCAGGGTGGGAGGGGAAGCAGGGCTCAGGCCAGCTTCAGGAACTCCTGCAGAGTGTTCTGCTCCACAGCTTCCACGAAGAGCTCGTAATCCTGCAGGGAAACGCCACAGGGGGTTGCTTAGGAGGCAGGAGGGGAGCCCACGGCACAAACTGGTTCACAGCCCTGGCACCAGCTGGTTGTGCCAAGCATGACAGGACAAAGTGGGCACAGCCCCAGTGCCACCCAAAGCCCCTTGCCTGCGTTCTCCTTTTTCCCAAGGCAAACTGCAGTGACTCCTGGCAGCACCTGGTCCCTGCACCTCACAAGAAATAACTTACAAGGCATCTAAAACATCTGCAGCAAAACCAAAGGCAGGACATGCCCCACCACCCCAGCCCAGGGTGCCAAGCCCAGCCTCACCCCGCAGTACTGGTCCCCGTTGACGATCTGGGGTGGGATGGCTTTGGGGTTGCCTGCCTTGGCCCTCATCTCCTCCCGGAGAGCGTTGTCCTGGGAGATATCCACCAGCTCGTACTTGATGTTCTTCCCATCAAGGATTCGGGTTACTTCGCTCTGTTGGGATTTGATCTGGAAGCCGGGCGGGAAAGGCGGGTTATGGGGAGATGGAGAGGAGCCCCAAGGGTGGGCACACACCCAGCGTGCCAGCCAGGCTCAGCACAGCGCCCACCCCGCGCGGAGGGCGGCTTTGGGGACAGATGGGGACGGTACAGAGCGAGCAGGGGAGGGGACACGGAGGATGGGGCGGGGGGGGCTTCGCTGCTCCACGGAAAGAGACGCCCACCCCCGGGAAGAGGAACCCCGGAGCTCCCAGCCCTGCCCGGCGGCGCTCACCTCCCGGGAGCCGGTCACCGAGGTGCTGTAGACCTTGAGGGTGCTCATGGTGCGATCGCGGCCGCTCCCAGCGCTCAGCCCGGCCGAGGGAGGGACGGACGGAGGGATGGAAGGAGGAGCGGCAGCCCCGCCACCGCCCGGCATGTGACTGCGGGGGCCAATGGGGCCAGCGGGCCCGGGCATGCGGCTTCGGCTGGGCCACCGCCCCGGCGGCACCGGGGAGCCACCGACAGCAGCCTCGGGGACACCGGGGAGCCACCGGCACCAGCCCCAGCGGCACTGGGGAGCCACCGGCCCCGCTCGCACCGGGTACCGGCCCACGCTCGCACCGGGTACCGGCCCACGCTCGCACCGGGTACCGGCCCCGCTCGCACCGGGTACCGGCCCCGCTCCCGGAGCGCGTCCCTCCCCAGGCAGGACGGCCTCGCACGAGTGGGTCAGAGCAGCTTTATTTGATACTCCAAACACTCGGTACAAACACGCGGTGAGACAGAGGCCGGTACAAAGACACGGAGCCCAACGGGAGCGGGCACAACACGGGGCACCGAGAGGGGACATGCGTGACATGAATGGGGGACAGGGAGGGAACACTGTCCTGGCAGCCTGGCGTGTTCTGCAGCAAAGGGCCCAAGATCTGCCCTGCAGCAGCAGCAAACAGCACCTGGGATCGGGCTCTGGGCCAGAGGGGCTCAGCTGAGCAGGAGGATGAGCAGAGGCTGTGTGCCCGAGGAGGGGACACAGGACCTGGGACCGGGCCGGGCAGCAGCTGAGGTGCTTTCAGTCACAATAATCTCATCTCACAATCATCTCTGCAGGGGCAGAGGGCAAAACTGTCCCCTCACAGCACCCATGAACGAGATCTTGCACCCACCACAGAGCAAAGGGGAGAAGGAGATGGTGCCCAAACCCCCTGAGAACCTGCAGGAGCCAGCAGAGCTCCCAGCAGTCAGCCCTGGAAATGTGTTTTTGCTCAGTACACAGCACCAGCACCCTGGGGACAGACACAGCCAGGGGGAGCAGGACAGACAGACAGACACTGCCAGGCACACACTGCTGCGTGCTCCCCGTGCAGGACAAACCAACCATTCCCTGCCACCGTTCCCCCCACGGTGGCCAAACACCGAGAACAAAACAGATTTGGTCTTAAAATTGTAACACAAAGGAATAACAAAAAGCATTTCTGCCAAACCCAGGGCTCACAGCCCCAACAAGAACGAAGAGCAGCCAAACAACACAAGTGTCAGCAGGATTTTTCCCTGTCATAACTTGGCATCTTGCTCTTAACTCAAGATGAAAACCAAATTCCGCCCTCAGACTCAGTACTGTAAAGGTGTCACTGGGCTTAGGGAGGGCTGTGGTACAGTGAACTGATCCCACAATGATTCATTTAGAAATCCCATTACTTGCAGAGGAGCAGGGAAGGAGGGACAGGGCTGTGACAAAGCCCAAGTGGCCACTGCCTTGCAGAAAGAGCTCCGTGTGCCACCCCCTCCACAGCAGGACCAGTATGGCTTTGTCCCAGTAAAGCAGAGGTGTGTCCCCATGGGCACAGAGGCTCTTGGAGGCTCTGGCAGAGGTCACAAACACGTGGGACTCCCCAGGATTGCTTGTGATGGCTCTAAAAGGGAAGAGCAGCTCCTCACCTGCCAGTAGATGCATTAGGCACAGAGCAGAGTGGGGACAGAGGGTTCTTCCAGCTCATTAAGGCACTTCAGCATCCATCCACCTCCTCTGCAGTCTGAATCACAGCCCACTCCCAGTGCTATTTCAGAGGAAAAAAGTCTTAAGGCTTCTGGGGTAACAGTGCCCAGGGGGAGTTTCCAGAGTCTTTTAGTGTTGCTTTATTCCTCAACTCATGCTGGCTGCTGAAAGACACTAGTTGCATTTACCTGAGGAAAGCAGGTCCTGCTCCATCAATCCAAGGCAGCAGCACCTCAATGTAAATGCCAGCAGTGTAACTGGCACACCTGCCTGCCTGTGGAACCCAGATATCCCATAAAAAAATCTGATAACCCTCTGGTCCCACTGGTCACACAGGACCTGCACAGGGAGGTTATCAGCAAGACCAGGGCATACATTTCCTTGTAGCTGTGATTTTAACTGTCACATTTGCATGTTCAGCATTTGACATGCCTGGAAGGCAAGTCAGAATTCATCTCCCAGCATCAGAGGCCACAGCAGCTCCAGCAAACACAGCATAAAACACATTCCACAAGATCAAAGCTACTGCAAAGCCTGACACTGAATTATCCCAGTCAGCCAGTCAGCAGCTGAACACTTCTGGCAACAAACCCCCCGATTCCTCCCAGATCAGGTAAGTCACACATCCTGCACCCCAGCAGAGGGATGATAAAGTGCTGAATAGGTTTAGGGTTGTAGGAGCACAGGACTCCTGAGAGGTTCAAGTCTTCAATCCCTGTCTTACTTTGGGAGTGTTCTTCACTGGGTGATGCAGTTGTCTCCCATGTCCTGAGCATATCTGTCAGATATTGCAGTCCTCAACTCCTCCACCTCTTTGTGAAGCTGTTTTACCTCCACCAGTTTCTTGGCCAGTCCTTCAGGGCTCAGCAGCTCGTCCTTCTCCTTCACAGGGTACTGCACAGCTGTGGGGTCAGAGAAGGGAGTTTCCTCACATGCAGTTCTCAGCAAGGATCACACACATTTGCAAGTCAGCCAGAAAAACCAACTCACATTTGCAAAAGAGGTCCTACTTAACATTCAGTTATTACAACATGCACCTTTGAAGCAAGCCAACCACAGAAAGAGCAGTCAGAAGGCCAGAAAGAGAACTTTCCATGCTCTGTGTGAGTTACTTAATTCTGCCACAGGAAGGGAAGGGTTTGTTCTGCCATGGCTCAAAAGGAAACGCACTTACAGTGAATGCCCAGGAGCAGAGAGAGGTTGGGGTCCTTGCCCTGAGCCCTCTGGGTGACGATGCTGTAGACAGACTGTAAATCCTGCAGGCAGCTGGCCAGCTCCCCGTGCAGCTCCTGGGCCAGCTGGGCCGTGTCAGCAGGCAGGGGCTGGGCCGTCAGCTGCGCCTGCCGGAGCCGCTCCTGCAGCGTCAGATTCTTCTCAATCAGGTCCTGGTTCTGCACGGACAGCTGGACACACGGACACGGCGTTCAGCGGCCACCTGGGGCAGCACTGCCGCGCTTAATGCACCTGCACTGAGGGCACGAGCTGGTTTGCATCCCGTGGCCAGGGGACCCAATGTCACTCCCAGATGGGGACTGGATCAATCAGGAAGTGCCCGGTGCAGGAAAAGCTTCCAGGAGCTTGTGCACCCCGGCAGTGGCCGTGCCTTGCCTCCAGGGCTGCCCCCGTAGTGGGTTCTGCCCGGCCCTTCAGCCCAGGCCGTGCCTGCACTCCTGTTCTGCTGCCCCCAGCTGGCTCCTCCATCCCATCCCCATGAAATTCCCGAGGCACGGCCTGCTTCTGCTTTCCAGCAGGGCACAGCTCCTTTCACAGCCCTGACAGGACAACTGACTAGCAGGAAGCAGGAGAGATTGAGCTGCTGACTAAATTGAGGGCCTTGCTAGAAGACAATCCATTCATTCAGTGCTACCCCAGACACTCCAAACACCCCCTGACCTCTTTCACGGCAGCCCGGAGCTGCTGCAGAGCATTTTCCCTTCTCACTGCCTCCTCTTTCAGAGCTTGGCTTGTCCCCTCTTCCTGGGCCACCTGTTCCTCCAGGTTCTGGAAAAGACCACGGAAACACAGGAAGTCTAACTCATTTCACAGCATATTCTCAAATCCTGGGTCCCTCCCTGTCACCTCTCACCTTGACTTGCAAGGATAACTGCTCCATCTTCTTCTGCTTTTTGTCCACAATCTGGAATTAAAAGCAGAGGCATCAGAACTGGCCACACAGATGCAGTAATACCACCAGGAATTCTCCTTCAGTCGGACAGCATCTCCTCTCCTGCTCTGTCCTGTCCATTTACTGCTCTAATCACAGATGCTCTTAGGAGTGGACTTGGATAAAAGGCACCATTAGATTTATCAGCTAAAACCAGACCAGAGACATTTGTATTTTTGTGGTTTTCCTCTGCTCTCTTCTGCATTCTGCAGCTTCTCCCCAGCATTATTGGAGAAGTGTGTGGTTATCACATCAAGAACAGCTTTTAGAACCCTGCACTCTGGAGTTCCAGGAACTGCTGCTTCAGTGCAATTGTGTCTTTAAAAGTCCCTGATTTCATCTGAGTGCCTGGTGTGAGTCAGTGGAAGGAAAAATGTGTCATTCCTGCCTGGGACAGCCCCTTACCTTCCTGAGGCAGTCACACTCCTTCTTCAGAGAGTCCTGTTCCATTTTCTGCCTCTCCCCATCCTGGGCAGGGGGTGCTCTCTCTGCATTCTTTGCATACTGCTGCAACTTGTCCTGCAAGCTGCAATTAGCAGAACACCATGGGAAAAAAAAGAGTTTTATTTATGATCTCTCCCTTACTTTAAGGAGGGAAACAATATGAGGAGTGCAATTAATTTCATATCAAATGTCAGCACTGCCCTGTTTGCATCCCAGCCCACACCACAGGGCTCTGCATCATCTTGTGCAGCAATTCCTGCAGGGCCAAGATGAAGCTGATTCCTGACTCCTACCTGTGCACAGTGGACAGAAACTCCATCTCCTTGTGCTTTTGGGTTTCCAGCTGCAGCTCTTGCTCCCTGAAAGCAGCCTGGACATCTCCAAGCTCTGTTTCCAGTGCCAGCACTGTTTCCTGCAGGGCAGCAGTCTTCAGTTCAGATTCCTTCAGCTGCAACAAAAGGAGAGTAAATGTAAATTAAGTAAACTACAGCAAAGTCACCTGAGCAAGTATGTGAAGAGCCACCATTGCAACTCAGAGGAAGTTTTACCTTCTGACTCTGTTTCTGGTGGTCCTCAAGGGTTGGAAGATCAGCCAGGTATCGTTCCAGGGTCTCGATTCTCTGCTGTCTCTCTCTGTTTTGTTCAGATTCCTTCTGGCATTTCTTTTTAAGGTTATTAATGTGTTTGTCTCTTCCTTTTACCTGCAGGGACAGTTACAGACAGGTCTGGTTTATTTAATTTCTTATTTATTCTTCAGTCTTCTGTAAGCCCACTCATTGAGCTTTTTGAACACCACACAATGCCAAAATAGAAGATTTCACTATTTCTGCTCATTTAGCTAAAGACAGGCATTTTTTTGGTTTAAAGAGGAGCCACTGAAATGTTTTTAACTGCAGGAGGAAAGGCCATAAACTGTAGTCTAAAATGAGATGAGAAAACACCTGCAATTACAGACTGCCACAGAAAAGTTTCACCTCAGCACTACACAAGAAAACACTTTCCCATCTCCAGAGCAGCAGGACCATACCCTTTCTTCCTGTTTCTTTAGCTCCTCTGCATGTTTCTGCACTGTTTCCTTCAGGGACTCCCGGACCAGCTTCACATCCACCTCTGCAGCAGCCAGCTTCCTCTCCAGCTCGATGTTCTCCTTGCTGAGGGACTCGGTCTTCTCTGTGAACTGTGCTCGCAGGAACGTGTTCTCCCGCTGCAGCTCCTGCAGGCAGAGCCAGCTCCTGAATTTGGGGGGGTTACAAACAGTCCCAGGGCTGTGTCCTCATCCTTCCCCATTCCCAAACATCCCTCAGCCCGTCTGACACGCTCTGAAATAGCGCCTGGCACTGCTGCCAAGTGTTGGCATCACCAGCACAGCTTTAATCCAACCAAAGGGCCTCAGGGCTGCAAATCCCAGGGGGCACAGAGGTGATAATTGATAATTTGGGTAATTTATAATCAGACTCTGCACAGTCCTGCTCAGCAAACACCTCAGCAGCAGAGGCAGGGCTGTTGGATCCAGCACCTGTTTCTCACTGACACCTGCTGTACCTGCATCCTCAGCATGTAGACATCTCCATAGGAGGCTGGGCAGCCCAGCAGGGCACTGTGAACCTGCAGCTCACTCTCCCGGACCTTCTGCTCCAGCTGGGAAATGTGCTGCCTTTGTCTGCAACAAAAACGGGCAATTCACTGCTCTCAGACATAGAGAGCAGCAGCACAACACAAACGGTGCCAGCACAGCACTGCTGCTCCACACAGGGACAGCCAGAGCAGAAACACAACTCTGCAACTCAGAGCCTGCACAGAAATAAAAGGTAAACACTTGGACCTTTTTTACAATTCTTATTAATTTTCTTCTCTCCCCTCCCTTCAAAACCCTTCCTCCAGCCGTGATTACAGATAAAACACACAAGCCTTGCATGTTTTGGAGGATCCAGCTTGACTCTGGAGCTTAGGAGTGAAATGAACAGATGACAGATGACTCAAAATAAGGAAGAAAAAGTATTTACAGTCCAGATGCTGAAGATACTTTTTCAAGAAGCTTGTACACCATTAGCCTTAGATAAATGTTGTTTGCCAGCCCAAAGTCACAAAAACCAAATTTAAAATAAAGATCATAGAGCTCCCAAAAAGTTCTTAAGCAAAAGGGGCAGATATTCTGACATTGCAGATAATCATGACGTGAACAGAAATCTTTATCCCTTATAAAACACAGAAAACCATAACTAAAATTAATTTATTTGAGCCCTTTAGGATCATCATCCTAATTCCAAGGAGAGAGACCTCAGGTTGTTCTCTAAGGTCCTGATATTGATCTTTGCAACAACACAAGATCAACTGGGCAAAATGGACTCTGAGAAATGAGCCCTCCTTGGTACTTTCCAAACCTTTCCTTTCCAAACAGAAATGGACTGGAGTCTTCAAAGCACACGGCAGTGTCAAAGCCTCACCTGTCAATGAGGAGCTCTTTCTCCTTGAGCAGGTTTTCATTGGAGTTCAGGATATTGATCCACTGAGCTGGGTCAGGTGCAGGCAGGGATGAGGAATACATGGAGGAATGGGGGCAGGTGCCTCCATTTTGTAACTGCAAGAGGAGACAAAATAAGGAGGGAGAGGTCTGTGCCCCCCAGGGGCAATTGCAACACTGCTGGAGCTATTTTGCACACTGTGTGCTCATCTGCATGCCAGGGCACGGCTATTTCAGTCTTTGTTGATGTCCAAGAACAAGAAACTTTGCCCAAGCACAACTGGAGATTAACAAATAATTTTAGATCACTGTGCTAGCTCACTGGAAACAATTTGTCTCCATTAGGGTACAGCTGGTGGGAGGTGGTAAACAAACAGTTTCCACCTAATAAACTGCAGCTAGTTTCATGCATTTCTTAAAAAAAGTCTTTCTTTACCCTAGCTACAGAATAAAGCTATTCTAGACACTGTTTAAAACCTCTTGGCATGCTTTTTCTTCACAGTTTCTATCATTTCAGCTCTTGATGTGGCAGGTGGTGTAACACAATCCAGGGCTGCTCTGCACACGCAGCGTGTCAAACGATACCTGTGACACCACAGGCTGTAAAAACAGACCATTAGGAGGCTTTTGGAGAAGCATGAGACATTTTCCCCCTGCCTCCTTTGTCTGGGACAACAATTCCTGACGACAGAGACAGGAAAGGGTTTCAAATGCACACACACAGTCACAGCTGCCTACCTGCATCTGCTCCACCTGCAGCCGCACTTTGTCCAGCTGCTGTTTCCAGGCACTGAGCTCACAGACTCCCTGGTGGGGGTGCAGTGAGCAGCCTTCCTGCATCCACACTCGGCTTGGGGGAGCTACTACAGGTTTTGGATAGAAATTGTTGGCCTGGAGTCCTGCTGGCATCAGCCTGCTCCCTCTGGGCCACGTCCCGTCCCGGGGCTCGCCGGCTCCGTTGGCCCCCGGCGCCTGTTTGCTCTCTGGCAGCACCTTGTAATGGTCCTTCCCTGCCTCGGAGCCGGGGTTCAACTTGTGGCACCTGTGCAGAGGGTCAGTGCACAGACTGTCCAGAAAGAGAGACTGGTTAAGGGTCTGCTCGATGGCGGGGGTGTCAAACTTCCAGGTGTCTTCTGTCCTGTGATCAGCAGCAGGAGGCCAGGAGTGCTCACAGCCGTTCTGCCCCGGAGCCCTGCAGAGACGCAGGAGGTCCCTGGGTGGCACCTGAGAGGACTTCCCGGCGTTGAAATCCCCGTTCCTGGTGAGCCCTGGGGCAGAGGCTGGCACAGCAGGCTTTGCAGAGCCCTGGTCCCCTGCAGGGCACAGCTTGGAGGGCGAGGCACCCAGCGTGGAAGGCATAACGTGGGCTGTTGGAATGGTCACCTGGGTTTTGATGGGGTGGAATGAAGAACTGCTACTGGAATTGCAGAAGTCTAGGGGGAAGAAGAAGAAGAGTGATATTCTTAATTACAGTCCTGAAAATACAATCCTCCAGTGAGCTTTCCAAAATGATTTTAAAACCACTTCCTTTGCCACTGAACATGTCCTCCTAAGCAGCAGCAGCATGACTCAGGCACAACTGTGTTCCCCCTCACTACAAGTTTCAGGAACCTGCTGACCTTTTCCTACCACCACAGGAAGAATCTGAGTTTAATCCATACTTTTAATCCTTGTTTTTAAGCTACTCTAGTATAACCTTGAATCAATAGGTTCTCTAGGTTTAGAAACCAAGTCCTTGATACTGAATAAAGAGGCTGAGACTTACTGAGCTGAACACTGAGCCCGTGATCCCGCTCTGCCCGTCCCGCAGCTCAGCGACCCCGAAGCGTGAGCAGAGCTACCAGGAGCCTTCCCTGAGCCCATGATGAGCCTCCAGCATCGCTGACCCCCAGATCTGACCTTCCAGCTCCTCCAGGACACCACGGCAGGAGCCTGTCCCAGAGCTGGAGCAATGGCTCTCACCTATGGCCACAGGAAGTGAGACGGAGCTCCCGTCCTGCCAGCGGGGCACCAAACCTGGCTGCAGGGAACTCGGGGTTATTCTTAGCAACTCTCAGATTTCAATACAGCAACAGCCAGGGCTGAGAAAGGCAAACAGCAAAGTGCCCACTCCTTGTCCTGAGACGTTCTGTGTCGCAGGAATTCCAGGTTTCTCCCAGGAACACACTCTTGATTTCCTCATGGCTTTGGCCAAAGGCCCAGCCCCACGTGATGCTCCAACAAGTCACCTTCCCACCTGTCTGTACCCTCCAAGCACTGCTCCAACCACTAATGAACGCTGCAATTCGAATACAGCCCAAAGCAGACTCTGCAAAGACCAAAACCACGCCACAGAATTGTCACAATAAAGGCACTCCATCTTTTCATCAAAAATGAGCAGTGAGGGCAGAAAATCTCTCAGCCACTGCTTGGCTGTGCCTGGGGACTCCAGAGAACAAACACCAGGCTACTGGGCAGCTGCAAGCACATTCACCTTGGCAAAGAGAAGAGACAGCACCATTTCCTTTTACAGCCCCTAAATTTATCCCCTGCTGTCACTGAGTTCCCTGACCAGCACATCACGTGTGGGTGCTGCAATCAGTTCCTTGGGTGTGCTGAGGGTCCTCACAACAACATTTCTGATTAATGTACTGAGCTCAGCGTGCCCCAGCAGCAGCCAGGGCTGCAGGTCACCCTCGGCTCTTACAACACTGCTGTGACATCACCAGTGCTCACAAGGGCCATTTCCCAAAGGGAAATCACCTTCCCTGTCCCCACCTGCCAAATGAGTGCTTTATTATCCTGAGAGAGGCCTGATGGAACACTTTAACATGTGCTTGTGTAATATTTCTAGCAGTACTTCCAACAGCCAGACCTCCATTTCACTGGCACATTATTAAGAGCTACAGCTCGTTCCAAAGGCTCCCTGGAACACATGATGTGTGAAGTGTCTTTAGGAACACCACAAAGTCCCTCATTACTGAAAAGAGAATCAATGAAGATTAAAAAAAACAGGTGGACAGGTTTGCTGGGACCAAAAAATTCACAGAGTGTGCCTGAGTTAAAGGCAGGGCTGCAGAGTTCTCAGCTCTAACACTGCAGAGCCAAACACTTCTGCACAAAGGCACCTATAAATTATTTCCATAAAAAAAAATTAAAATCACAAAAGAGACATGCTGATACATCTCTCATTGGACAGTAAGAACCAGGAGGCCACCAAGGTGGCTTTGAGTCAGTTAAAAGCACTGCAGTGAGGCAATAACCACGCTCAGAGAAACAGCCAGCCCCCTCCTCACTGGGTTACATTCCAGACATCTGGATTTGGAATTTGGACACTGTGAGCCAGTGGTGCCCTCCAGGTGTGACACAGTGACCCAGGGGTGCCCATCACCTTCGGTGCTGTCCGAGCAGGAGGTGCCAATGCCCCCGTCCCCACTCTCGGCCACGCTCGGGCAGCGGCTCAGCTGGCCCTGGGACTTCACAGACAGCATCACTGTCTTCCACTCAGCCTCCAAAAACTTGCTCTTCTGACAGGTGCTGGGGTCTGGAGAATAAAAACAGGGATATTTATGCTTTAGCTAAGCCATATGTAATTACCTGTGCTTCCAAACCCCGAACTGGTCCTTGCCTCGCTCCCTGTGCTCCTGTTAAAATAATTTTTTTTTTGCAAAAGGAAATGGCAGGAAGCACAGGGAAGTCAAATAATATCAACAGGAGACTGAAAAACAATCTTGGTAACGAAGTGAGAATGCAGAAGCTGTAAATTATATTCCCATTGATTAGTTTGGTCACGTTACACCCAGCTGGTGCTCTGACTAAAAAAAGCAGCAGCACAGCAAAACCGGGAAGGTTAAAGAGGTATTTTGGCATTAACTCGAAAGAACTCTCCCAGATTCATCAGCTACCAGCTTAAGGGAGAAACTCCTTATCAAATGATTGCTGAAAAAGCAGGCAAGGATAGAAAATTCGACCTTTTTTGAACAAAAAGGCTTCTGATAGAGAATCTTCTGAGGGTCACGTCTCTCCTCAGAGAAACTGAAACAGGATCTGACAGCAGCAGGGCTTTGGAGAAAGGACTGTCCTTACCCAGTGGATTCTTCTGCAGCAGCCTCAGCTCTGGATCTTTCTCAGGAGCAGCCATCTCAGCTATCTAGAGAACTGGATAAATGAATAAAAGTCTTATTTTAAGTGACTATAATCCACACCCTGTTCCCACTAAGCAAGCAAAGGGTACACACACAGCAGCTATTCATCAGAGCAACACAGCATTTAGTATTTAATTAGCTTCTTCTCCCAATAAAATCTGTTTTTTCCCTGCAGCAACACTTTAAAAACAAACCTTGTAGGCTTTCTTTATGCCTGAGAAAGCAGAATTCCTGTTTGCACCATTATCCAGGTATTGAGCAGCACCTTTCAGGTGTTATCCCCAAGGCTGAGCACCACAGTACCTGCACACTGAATCTGTGTCTATACAGACTAAAAATTTCTCTTTAAAAGTCTTAACTCTCAACCAGATAATTTCTGCCCTCTGTAGAGGTCACTGAGCAACTACATGAGAAAAGTCCTTCAAAATCAGCCTTTCTGTGCCGTGAATAGCAATCTTTAGCTTCCCAGAGTTTCTGGTTAATTTATCTATTTCTCTGGGCGCTTCAGTGAATTTCCTGTCTCTGATAATGCAAGTGCAATTTACATCTGCACAGTGGAAATTCAAGGCCTCTACAAACCCGTATTCAATCCCAATCAGCAGCTGTTACAGATTTTTGTTAAACTGATTCAAGGAGCTCAGGGAAGACATGAATTCCTAGAAAACATTCATGTACACAGATGTCACAAGCTAGGAGAAACACTGGGAATACAATAGGATAATGAAACACAAACAGCATTTTACTCAGCAAAGAAATGAAACACTTCTACATAAATGCAGTGCTTATTAGGGTTAATTTAGGTGTGGTTAATTTAGGCATAATTAATTTAGGCAGATACGCCCAATTTCAGGTGAATTTCTGACGGGCTGGAGGTCCCGGTCCTTGAGGGTAGGGTGCGGGGACAAATCCTAAGGACCGGTCCCTGAGGGTCGGGGGGCTCCGTCCCTCAGCACCGGACCCAAAGGCGGCGGGGAAGGAGCTGTCGGTTCTGTGGGCCCGGTCCCTGAGGAGGAGCGGCAGCCGATCCTGAGGGGCTGGGAGGCCATGAGGAGCTGAGAGAGCGCTCCCTGAAGGGCTGGAGGGTCCGGGGTGCGGTGCGGGTGTGGCAGCGGCGCTGCCGGTGCCCGGTGCCGGCGGTACCGGTGTCGGTACCGTGTGAGCTGGGGCTGGGCCCGGTCCCGTCCCTCACCTGTCGCCGCCGCCGCGCGCCTCCCGCCACCCCCGCGCGCCGCGACCGTTACCTCCGCCGGTGGGTGGGGCGTGGCTTATTAGCATATCAGCCAATCAAAAACATCGGCCACGCCCCTGCCTGTGCCTCATTGGCTCCCCTGAACGCCGTCCCCGCTCCCGCCGCGCCGCGCCGCGAGTGGCGCGCCCTGGCGGGGGAAGAGTGGCCGCGGGCGGCACCCGTAGGGCGGGCGCTGAGGGGGCTCAGCCTGGGGAAAAGGGGGAGAGGGGGAATCGTCTCGATTTCCACAACTCCCTGGCAAGAGGAACAACGGGACAAGAGGAAACGGCCTCAAGTTGTACCAGGGGAGGATGAGCTTGGACGGCAGGAGGAATTTCTCAATGGAAAAGGTGGTCAAGCACTGGCACAGGTTGCCCGGGGCAGTGGTTGAGTCACCATCCCTGGGAGTGTCCAAAAACATGTGGATGTGGCACTTGGGGAGGTGGTTTAGTAGTGAGCGCGGCAGTGCTGGGTTTACAGCTGGACTCGATGATCTTGGAGGTCTCTTCCAGCCTAAACAATTCCATGATTTGATGATTTCAGCGCCAAGAAAAACCACGGCACGACCAGACCTTGTCAACACATTTATTTACAGCAGAAGAGCCCGTGGCCGGGCCGTACCACAGCAGCACCACAGCGGGGACTGAAATTCTCCCCCCCTTGCCAACCTGCAGCCAAGGCAAGGCAAAAATTAAGACTGTCACAGAAGCCACTTCCCCTGCGGGATGGCCCCTCTGGGGGCTGAGCCTTCCAAAATGTGTCCAGGCCCCCCGGCACGGAGCACCTGTGGGCAGGTCCTGGCGGGATGTCAGGGCTCAGCTGCCTCTTGGTGGGGGCTGTGCTGGTCTCCAGCATCCCCGTGCTCGTAGCCCTGGCCTTGCTGCCCTGCCCAGCCCTCCCTCAGCTCCTGGTACAGCTCCTGGTGCTCCTCCTTCCAGCGCCTGAACGTGTCCGAGGTGAGCGTGGCCTCTCCCAGCAGCTGCTCCAGCGCCTGCAGCTCCGCCAGCTTCGCCTGCCCGGAGCAATGCACGTTTTGGGGGGCACAGCCATGGGCAGGGGGCATTGGGAGGGTTCAGGGGGGCTGTGGGGTCCCACCTTGAGCGTGCTCTGCAGGGCCCGCACGGCGTGCACCCTCTCGTTGATGTGCGGGTTCTTGTTGCGCCGCAGGAAGGATTTTCGGCACTGCTCCTGCGTCAGGAAGCGCCGCTGCCCCATGAGGGACACCCCGCCCTGCCTCAGGCACAGCATCAGGCTCTCCAGATCCTCCCCAGCGGGGTCTGGGCAAGGAAAGGGGGCACTGGAGCAGGAGGGCACAGCACCAAGATCCCACAGGGCTCCCCCGTGCATGGCCCTCCCTTCAAGGTGTGGGATCATGGAGTGGTTTGGGTTGGAAGGGACCTTAAAAATGATCTCGTTCCACTCCCTGCTATGGGCAGGGACACCTTCCACTGTCCCAGGCTGCTCCAAGCCTTGTCCGACCTGGCCTTGGACACTTCCAGGGATCCAGGGGCAGCCACAGCTGCTCTGGGCACCCTGTGCCAGGCCCTCACTGCTCACAGGGAAGACCATCCTGTAATGGCCAGTCTAAACCTGCTCTTTTTAGTTTAAATCCATTCCCCCTTGCCCTGTCACTCTCTGTCCTCCTAACAAATCCCTCTCCACTTTTCCTGTAGGCTCCCTTCATCCTGAGATGGTTCACACTCAAACACATCCCAACTCGAGTTACCCCCAGCACACCCGGAGGTAAAAGGGAGGGACACAAAGTGACAGGGGCTCAGATGTCCCCCCAGGCACCTACCCATGGGGGAGCAGGGCCGGGGGCTGCCCTGGGGGCTGCTGGCTGGGGAGAGCTGAGCCTTCTCTGGGGTGTTCTGCAGCTTCTTCCTTGCCTGAGGGAGAGATGGGGCAGGAGGTGAGACAAGGAATTCTGTCCCTCTGTCCTCAGAGTCAGGCCACTCACCGAGTCAGATCCGTGCCTGGGGGACTCATCATCAGGGTCCTCAGCTTCTGTCTCACTGTAGCAGTCTGGGAGAAGACAGAAATTCCCTCCCAGGGTTGAGAATCACCCTGGCCACCTCTCAAGGAGTGTTTGTCACATTCCCCCACATCATGGGCCAAGCTCCCAGCGGTCCCAGGCTGGGGCTGTGGCACCAGACACCAGTACCCCATGGGGACCCCTCCCACCGACCCCAGCTCCCACCCCAGGATGGCCTCGTTACCTTCTTCCTTGTCTGGGACTCCCTGGTGGGCCAGCGTGTACTTTGTTTTGGCTGTGACCAGGCGACTGACCCACCTGGGGAGGGAAGGGATGGACAGACAGGGGGAGGAGGGTCCTGGCCAGCCCGGGGTGGTGGGGCTGGTGCTGGCCATTGGCTCCATTACTCACATGCTCAGGTCAGCCAAAGTTTCAGCAGCAAACACGAAGGGCTTGTATGTCTGGTGGCACAGCTGGAACACACTGAGGACAAGGGGGTGGCTGCCTGTGCTGCTGTGGTGACACAGGGCCAGCCCCGAGCCCCCTCCAGCCACTGCAGACCCCCATCCCAACCCATCTCTGCTCCTCAGCCTCATCCCAGGTACCACCAGTGACACAGTGCAGGCCTTGCTCAGTGTGGGCACAGTATTGCAAGGTGCCAGCCCATGGGGACATGCAGGTGGCTCCCAGCACGTGGCCTTGGGACAGCATTCCCCCCCTCTTCCAGCATCCCACTCACTATTTCTTCTTCTGCTCCCTCGTGCTCTCCAGGCTGTAGGTGGCCACGTTGATGAGTCCTGCAGCCCTCTCATCCTGCGGGGTCAGGGACAGCCTTGTCCAGCACCACCCCAGGAAATCCCAGCTGCCCAGGCAGGGGCAGGGACACCCAGTGCCCCACTCACGTTGGGGTGGTTGTACCAGTAGAGCGTGTGGCCCTTGAGCACCAGCCAGCACCGCTTCCACTTCTGGGCCATGAATGCCGCGTGGTCCTTCTTCTTGAGCAGCCAGCCATCGCAGTCCACCCGGCCCAGGTCCCGGCACGAGACCCGCCGGCGGCTCAGCCTGGTCGCCACTCCTGCACCACAGCCGGGGGGTGTCAGGGCAGGGAAGGGGGAGCAGAGCCCCCCGGGACAGCCCCCAGCCCGGTCCAGCCCAGCCTGGCGGGGCTCTGCTCACCTTTTGGTCTGCGTCCCGTGCGGGGGCTGCCCTGGGCGGGGAGATGGAGATGAGATTTTAGTGACAGTGCAGGGCAGTGTTTGCTGAGCCTCTCCGGCAGCACCACAGCCCTTAGGGACCCCTGGAGGGACCCCCAATTCACACACCCACAGCAGGGGCTCAGAGGGGAACCTCTGACACCTTCCCAGCGTGTCCCCCCCAGTCTCACCTCCCCAGGGAGCTGGCTGGGCTCTGCTCCCCCAGCCCCCGTGGTGGGGGCTGCCCTGGGGCTCAGCTCTGTGGCACAGGGTTCAGTGACAGCAGGGGTGTCCAAGGGGGTGTCCAGGGGGGTGCCACTGTCCCACACCTCCTCTGCAGCAGCACCTATGAACAGCGAGCAGGGCTGCAGCGTCATGTTCTGGGGGAATTGCTCCATCCCAGACACCCTCTGCTCCCGTCCTACCCTGTCCTGGCAGTCCTGGCAGCTCCTCCTCAGCTGGGACGGCCCCGGGCAGCCTCGGATCCCGCTCGTCCTCTTCCTGCTCCTCGTCAGTGACGGGATCCGGGGCAGAGTCTGCTCCCGAGTCCAAGTCGGCCGCAACGCTGGGAGGAAAACGGGACCCCTGAGCCCCAAACCTCCCTGAGCACTGCCAGGATCCCTGATCAACCTCGGGCAGGGGCACCCACGGCGTTCCCTGCCCCGGGAATGGGGCTGCAAGGGACGTGGTGGCAGAGCTCCAGCTCAGTTCCACCAGCCTGCCCAGCTCGGCTCTCTGCACGCCTTTCCATTCCGGGACGGGAGAAGGGTCATGTCTAAATATAGTTCCAACCCCACTAAAACGTTACCAAGTGAATGAATTACAAACCCCCCCTCCCTTTTTGTCATTCCTTAAAGAGTCCTGGCAGCTTCCCGGGCTGTTCACAGGCAGCTGCTGCACTGCTGGCACTTCCCCACCTAAAAAAGGGCTGGGAAAGGGCCCTGGATGCACCCAAACATTTCCTTGGTGGCAGACTGGGGGCGCTGGGGTGTCGGGATGGGGCTCACCTGGAGGTCAGGGACACGGGGCTGCCTGGGCTCTCGCTGCTCCTGGTGCCAGGGGAATTTGCAGCATCCAGGAATGCTCCTGGGGGCTGTGGATGGAGTGTCAGTGCCCCATCCCACCATGGATCCCACCATGGATCCCAGAGCTTTAGGGATCTCCAGTGTGATGGGAGATGCTCAGCTCTGAGCATCTCTGCCTGGCTCCCAGCACAGCCCAGTGCAGCACAAAGGCTGGACTGGGAGCACTGGGATCACTCACCTGCTGCCTGGGAGAGGGGGGTGAGCTGGGCAGGTCGAGGGGAATCTTCTTCAGCACCAAAGTCACTCTGTTCCCCTTCTCCAGCAGCTTCCTCGCCAGGTTGACAGGTGTCCAGCCCACCTGAAAATCCTGAGTGAGCTGTGGGCCACTGTCCCACAAATGCTTCATCCCCCAAACCTACCCCAGCCCTAAATCCTCCTGGCAATGGCTTCTGTGTCTCCCAGACCTTTCCCAGCCGTGGCTCCTGATTTTTGCTGCTCGTGACTCCTGCATCCCCCCAGCTCAGCCCCAGTACTCCCCGAGCCCTCCCGGCCCTGTAGCTCCCTGTCCATGTCCTCCCTGCCCAATCCAGCAGCCCCCTGGAGCCCCTGTCCCCCTGACTCACCACCAGCTGCTCGTTGACCTGCACGATCTCATCCCCGGGCAGGATGTGGCCCCCGTGGGCAGCCAAGACCTGGGCAGAGGTGGGGGACAGTCCTGGGTTCTCTCCCTCCCTCCCTCCCTCCCTCCCTCCCTCCCTCATCCCACTCCCAGCCAGGAAGGAGCAGGGGGTTTGACCATTGACCTGACTTTGCACAGCACCCACTGGGGCTGCTGGTGGGACTGGGGTGCAGAGGGGGCTCCCCCATGCCCAGGCTGTGCTCACTCATGGGGTGAGTTGCACGGGCTCAGCCACATCAGCCCCCCCTGCTCTGGGTCAGGGGAGGGCAGATCATGGCCCTGAGAGGTTCACGGGATCCCATGGATGGGGGTGTCCCCCACAGGGCATAAAAGGGGGTGACTGAGGGGTAGGGGGTGACAGGGAGGGGCAGCCCCTCACTCACCTCTGAGGTGGTTGCAGACACGAAGTGCAGGCAGGAGCTGGTGGAGGTGATCTCAAAGCCCTGTGGGGGCCAGGATGGGGGTTTGAGCAGGGGGCTGGGGGTCCCGAGGCACAGGGGGGCACTGGGGTGGAGGGGACTCACCAGTCGGGCACTGAGGAGTGCCTGGGGGCTCCCCAGGAGATCAGAGGGTGCTGTTGGGGTGTCAGGGGATCCTGGGGGGCTGCTCCATTGGCTGGGGGGCAGCGTTGGCACGTCAGGGGATGTTGGGGGGCTCTGCCACAGGCCAAGGGGCAGTGTTGGGGTGCTGGGGGACATCGGGGGGCTGCCCTGTGGGCCGGGGGGCAGCACCAGCCCCACACGCTGCAGCACAGCCCTGCGATCCAGCAGTGCCGGGGGGCTGCAGCCCACGATGCTCTGGCAGATGCCCACGATGTGCTGGCACTGTGGGTGACAGCGGGGAGTGAGGGGAGCCCTGGCAGCCCCCCGGGCCTGCCACCCCCTCCTCACCCAGCACTCACAATCTGCAGGATCCCGCTGTTCCTCTCGGCCGCAGGAAGGTCCTGGGGGACAAGGCATGGGGATGAGCGTGGTGGGATGGCTCCATCCCAGATGGAGGGACCCTATGGGGAACCCCCTGCACCCCATCTCCCCTCACTCCAGTTTTTGCCCCACACCAGCTGGCAGAGCTCTGGGGGCAGGAGAGCAGCCAGCCCCGGGCACTCACCGCCTGCAGCGTCTCTGCCAGCTGGGCACAGAGCAGGACGATGTCCCGGCTGGCCGAGAAGTCGTTGAGGGTGGAGAAGAGGTACCTGGGGGAAAAACAGAGTTGAGCCCCCAGAGTGGGGGGCACTCAGCACCCACGGGTGCCCTCACCTGCTCCAGACCTGTTGAGCCAGGAGAAGAGTTCCTTGGCAGCCCCGACCAGGTCGATGACTCGGGCCAGGAGGGTGAGGGAAGGTGGCTGGGGGGCATCCCCTGCTGGCAGCTCCCCCTGCACCAGGCTCTGGATGCCCTGTGCCAGCTCTTGCAGCCTCTCCGTCAGTGTCCTCAGGCTGGTACTCGCCAGCCCTGTGTCCTGGGGGGGACAGGAATGCCAGGGGATGGACAGGCAGAGTGGTCTCTGGGGTGCCTTCACCCAGCCCACGGTGCCGCCATGTCCTCCCCTCTGTCCAGCTCAGGGTCTCCTCAGAACCCCTCTCCACTGAGTCCAGGGTGTCCCTGTGTCCCCACCTCCATGCAGTGCAAAGTGACCCCATCTGTCCCCTTCCCTCAGCCCGTGGTGATCCCACATCCTCCTCCTTCATCCCAAGGATCCCCCATGTCCTGCTGCTGCTCCCTGGGATCCCGCAGCCCCCGGGTTCCCGGCACTCACCAGGTTACGGAGCTGCTCCACGGCCTCCAGCAGCAGCTCCTGGTGTCCCACGGGCCACACGCCCAGCGCCTCCAGGGCCCGCGCGTCCAGCCCCAGCAGCTCGGGCCCCGAGAGCCCCCAGGCCTCGAAGGGGTACCCCTGCACCGCCGCGTCCAGCCCTGCCACAGACAGGCAGTGTCCCCGCTGGCCTTGGCCGGGTGACCCCAGCGGTGACCCCTGGCTGGTGGGAGGGTCCTCTCCACGCAAAGAGCTCACCGGGCCTCAACCTGAACGGTGGGAATGGCCAGACCCCTTCCCGCCCCCCGCCCTCCAGGGAATGCCCCTCCCAGGGAGGGAAGTGCCGCCACCGCCAGCCACATGTCCCCAAGCTGGGGACACCCCACGTCAGAGCCCGAGGACAGCCGGGGCCTCACCTCGGAGCCAGGCTGCGGCCTGAGCGGGGCCCCAGGAGCACACGGGCTCCATGGCGGCGGGGCCGGACCGGAACGGCGGCGGGCGCGGCTCTCACCTGCGCCGGGCGCGGCTCCCACCTGCGCCCGCAGCCGCAGCCCCATTGGCGCTCCCGGGTGCCGCTCAGCGCCCTGCCTGTCCGGGACGGCCCAGGACCAGCCCGTGGGGCGAGGCCCCGGTGAGTCACAGCCCGGACGGTGACACACGGCCGCTGGAACCCCCGGGAAGTGACACCCGCTGTCACCCCCCAGGCTCTGCACGACAGCACTTGTGACACCAGTGGGACACTCCCAGAGCACCTCGGGGTGCAAAGTTAGGCCACACAGACCCCCAGAAGAACCTGAGGGAAGTCCCTGCCCAGCCCTGGAGTTTTTGGGGTGTCACTTCCCAGTAAAAGCACAACTCACACCCCTTTTCAGGTGGGGGAACTGAGGCAGCCCCATACACGCCTATAAACGGCTTCACCCGAAGTTGAGCCCAGCCCTTCAGCCCCCCCAAATCCACCCTGGGCTGGCCGTGGCCCCCCCGCCCGGCGTGTCCGCTCCGGGGAGCAGCGGGCGCTGATCGCGGCTGACAGCGGCTGCTCCGCGCCCGCCCGGTGCCTGCGCCCTGCCCGAGGGGCCGCGGGGCCGCTCACACACACGCGGGGCTCCTCGCCGTGCTCGGGGGGTCCCAGCCCCGCTGCTGCCGCCCCACGGACCCCGCTGCTCCCTGTCAAGCCATGATCATCCGCCCCCGACGCCTGACCCCGGGGTATTTCCGTCTGCTCCAGGTAAGGAACGAGCAGGGCTGGGGGAGCCCGTGGGGAGCCCCGGGGTGCTGCCCACGCTGCCCACCAGGCCTGCTGGCCACAGGAGCCATTCCCGGCTGTGTCCCAGCTCCACGTTAGCAGTGATGCTGCCGATGGGGGGTCCACAAGTTCTGCACCCTAAAAACCCCCCTGAGATGCCCAGAGGAGCACAAAGCCGCCCCCATTGCCTTTACACCACCCGGTGTGATGGGGACATTCAGGGGCCCCAGTCCCCTGTCCCCGTGGGGTTTGGGGTACTCCAGTGCTCCCTGTGTCCCCACAGATGCAGCTGGCCGCGGGACGTGGGGCTGATCCGGGGGGGCGGCTGCTGACCCCCCTGGCCTTGCTGCTGGCGGCCGCCGGACTCTGCCTGTCCCTCTACAGCGCCCGGAGAATGGCTGACCCCGCCAAGGCCCCCCCGGAGCCGTGAGGAGGGGGCTGGGGGGGTCGTGGGGACAGTCCCCGGGGGGGTTTTGCGGTCCCCCTGCATCCGCCGGCCCCCGTCTGAGCGGGGCTGTGGCTGCAGCCACTTCCCAGCCGAGCTGCGCCACATCCAGCCCTTCCCACCACGCTTGGGCACGCGATGGATGCCCTGATGGATGCCCTGATGGATGCCCTGATGGATGCCCTGGGGACGGGGGATGAGCCTGTCCCCGCCTGTCCCCGCTTTGGGCAGCCGGGATGGAGAACGGAGGAGCCGCTTCCAGCTCCGGAGCTGCCGGCTGAGCCCCTGCCCGAGCCACGGGGGGACATCGGGATCCAGAGGCTGCACGGACAGACAGAGGGACGGCAGAGCCGGGAGCTGCATCCATCTCCACCCCCCGCGGGAGCAGAGGGGCCTGGGGACACCGCTGGTGGCCACAGAGACCCCCTGTCCCCATGGGAACGTGCTGTGGCTGCAGCCCCGCAGGAATGAGGCCAGCGCCGCGCCGTTAGGTAACGGGCAGGGGGGACGCGGGGCCGTGACGTGTCCCCTGGGCTGGCACATCCCGCTGGGATGGCGGCTGCAGCCTTCCCACCCCCGCTGAGCTGCGGCTCTCCATCCCCCGGGGCCGGGGGGACAAATCCGGGCAGGCTGTGTAGAAATAAACCCTTCCCTACCCAGCACAGCTGTGTCACTGCTCTGCCTTCCGCTCCCAGCACACTCCCAGTGCCCAGCTTGGCAGGAGGGATAAATCGGGGACACGAACTCCACAGGAATTTGGTGGTATTGTCACTCAATGTCCCCTAAGGGGCACCAGCAGCAGTGGTGGCAGACACCAGGCAGGGAGGGTGATCACGCCATGCAGCCCCAGCCCTCCAGGAGCACGAAATCACTTGCAGGAGTTGAATATTTGGGGACAGGAGCCTCCAAGGATCCTCACCAAGGGGACACCAGCACTCCCCTCTCAAGACCCAAACCAGCTGCTCGCTGCAAACCCAAGTGCTCGATGAAGAGGTCACTCAAGCTCATATTCCCCACAAAATTCTTCCTGCGAACTCCCTGCCAGGAGGGCAGAGGGACTTTTAGCACCCTGTGAGGCAAGAGCTCTGGGACGAGGCTCCTGGCACAGACACCTTTGGGTAATGGGGAAGAACACAACACTGAAGTGTCCCCCCACCCCTTGGGGGGACTGTCACCCTCATTATTCAATGCTGCCACACTGTTAATTGACATATTTTAATGGGTGCATCACTGGAATAACCTCTGACCCAAGGACAGAGCAGAATCTGCTCCAAAAGCAGACAGACAAGTGTGCAGTCCCACCAGCACTCAGAGAAAAAAGCAACTTGTCCCTTTCTGGAGATGGACACTCGGTGAGGGCACCCAGGGTCTTGCTGGCTCCTTCTCCTCGTTAGTGCCCTGGCCAGGGGGGCTGTGGGAGCAGCAGGGTGGTTTTGGCTGGCAGTGCTGGGACGTGTTTTTGTCACAAAGCTGAGGACAAAGACGTCCTTACAGAGCCACTCAGCCTCTCAGTCCCCTGTCCCCGTGCTCAGCTGGACGTCTCCATCTCGGCGACCTCCTCGAGGGGCTGGGTCTGCACCTCCACCTTCTTTGGGGGGATGTAGGAACCCATCCCGGCGGCTCGTTCAGCCTCCTCCTGCGTGTACGGAGCCTCACGCAGCTGCTTCAGCCTGGGGGGCACGGAGGGGATGAAAATTCCACCTGCTCCTCTGAGCAGGACCAGCCCAGAACTGCCCCTGCCACCCCCCTCACCCTAGGGAATTTGGGGTCTGCTCTCCCCCCTTACCTCTTCTTGTGCACCTTGGATCTGAAGTGCTCCTTCATGCTGTTCAGGTCCACGAAGTAACGCCTGGGGTACGAAAGGATGGGGTCAGGGGGACCCCGAGACTGAAGGAAGGGCCAGGGTCCCACCACAACCCTGCAGGGGTCAGGGGTCACCCTGAGAGCAGGACAAGCTCCTCACAAGGGTCAGGGTCCCTCCTGAGACCAGGACAAAATATTCCCCCAGAGGTCAGAGCCCTCTCGCCAGGGACTACCCTGAGACCAGGGCAATCTCCCCCAGGGGACAGGGACCCCCCAGGACTGAGCACCCCTCTCCAGAGACCCCTGACCCCCAGGATCAGGACAACCACATCCCAGCGGCCAGGAACCTCAGGGACCAGGACAGCGCCTCCATGTCCCCCGGGAACCAGGGACCCCCAGGACCAGGACAAGCGCACCCCAAGGCTGGAGCCCCCCCTCCGTCCCAAGCCCCGGGGTCCGCCGCACGCACGCGCAGTGCAGGCAGTAGAATTGGGCGCAGCCCGGCAGGTCGGGGTCGATCTCCTGCCGCAGCAGCCGCGCGGCGTTCTCGGGCTTCAGGTCCGCGTGGATCTCGTCCAGGTCTCGCCGGCGCCGCTTCGTCTTCAGCTGCCGGGCGAGCGAGTGCGCCCGGTGCGCTCCGGTGCGGCGCCCGTTCCGCGGGGACATGGCGGCCGCACGCCGCGCTGCACGGCACCGCGCATGCGCGGGGGCTGCGGGCCACGCCCACACCGCCACACGCCCCGCCCACAGCCCCGGGAGAGAGTTCATGGTCACGCCCATCACACAAAAAGCCACGCCCATATCCAAACAGGCCACGCCCCCTCAGCCCGGTGTCCCGGGGCCGGTCCCGGTGTCCCCGCGACCCCCCAGCCCCCGGTGCCACCGTCCCCGCCTTGTCGCCGTGTGTCCCCCCAGTGTCCCCCCGTGTCCCCCGCGCTGCCCCGGTCACGGCTGTGATGGCCGGGCAGGGCTCAGCGCGCCGTGTCCCGGCGCTGATCGAGTTTCGCCCGTGATCAATTATAGATGGGGACACGCGGCGGGGGGAGCGCGGAGCCCCGGCACCCCCTCGGCACCATGGGGGGGTGTCCCAGCCTTGGGGGTCCCAGGTGGGCGAGGGGCACCGTGGGGCTGGGACGGGAGGGGTCAGGATGGGTTTTGGGGGTGTCCAGAGCCGCCGGCCCCGCGCTGCCCTCGGCTCAGCCCGGGCTCAGATTCCTTTTGTGCGGTGCAAGCGGCCGCTGAAACTTTAATGAAGCCACCGGATCGCCGGGTCGCCCGCTCTGCCCGCCCGCTGGCCGCGGCTCCCGCCGGCTCCGGCCCCGCTGAGCCCCTCGCCATGGCCCAGGGCTTCTGGCGGCTCTACAAGGCCAAAGTGCTGCAGACCCTGGGGGGGCCGCGGCCGGACGGGGCCCTGCAGGACGAGGTAGGGTGGGGAGTCCCCAAAATGGGGTGACCAACCTCCCTGCCCTCCCCCTGCCTGCACCCCTGCCCTCACCGGGGGATTCATTGCAGGGAGACCCCCCCGAGCTGGTGGAGACGGCCGAGCCCCCTGCGCTGATGGAGGAGGGAGCCAGCCCCGTGTCCCAGCTGGCCAGGAAGGTGAGGAGGGGGCTGGGGCAGGGGGGCGGGGGTCCCTGGAAGCCGGGGGGTCTCCCCGGTGACCCCGGCGCTGCCTCCCCGCAGGTGCAGGGGGTGGGGGCCCGGGGCTGGCGGACGCTTTCATCGCTCTTCACCCGCGAGGACGAGCACCAGCTGCTCGGCCCGGAGCCCTGCCCAGACCAGTAAGTCACAGATCGCTGGGGAAGAGACCCCACAACCCGGATCCAACCCCTGGGAACTGCCGAGCCCCCACACCCCCCACCCCATGGCTGCATCCCCTCCCCGGCCTGCACCCCGCCATGGAGGGGGGCCATGGTGGGCGTGGGGGACAAGGTCCCTGCACCGACATTTCCGTGCCCGCTCTCTCCCCAGCCCTCTGGCCACTGAGCCCTCCGAGGTGCCCCACGCCGAGAAGGCACCCGGATTTTGGGATCTCTTTGCTACCAAGTGGCAGCAGGCGTCCGGGCCGGACAAGGGGGTGCCTCCCCCGGAGCCGGATGAGAGCCCGGGGGAGCCGCCGGGTGACGACGGCAGCGACCTGCGGGAGCCAGAGGAAGGGGCCTTCCACTGGGGCTTCCTGGCTGGCAAACTGGCCGAAATCCGGAATAAAACCGCCCCCAAGGGCAACTAGAGGAGGATGAACCAGCCGGACTCTCCAGAAGTTATTTGCGACCCCCCATTGCTGGTGGGCAGCGCCCTGCCCATGCCCGAGGGCTCTGCCGTGGTTTTGGGTGTCACGTCTGCATTAAAGACCCCCAAGGTGCCCCTTTTCCCTGAGCTCTGCCCAGTGCTTTCCTTGCCCTACCCCCAAGAGCCCCACGGCCCCTGAAGCTGCTCCCCCCCAGCCCTGGGGCATTCCCCCCACAACCACACACACTGCCAGGCTAGAAAAAACCCCCAAACAGATTTATTAAGGGCAGCTCTGGCCACAGAGCCCCTGTTCTGGGGAGGAGGGGGCTGTAGGGTGGGCACTGCCCACGACAGGGGGCTCGGGTTCTGCCCAGTGGGGGCTGCAGGCCCATCCCACCCTCCTGGGCTGGGGACAGAGAAGATGGGTGACAGCAGGGTGACAGCAGCCTGCCAGCCCTGAGGCCATGCAGAGACTCACCCGGGGCTGTCCCTTCCTCACCTGCCCCTCAGGTGCCCCCACCACACTCAGCCTGAGGACCTGGTGGCTCTCCCAGCCTGCAGCATCCCCACGGCACCAGGGCCGTGGGTGCCACCAGCCCATCGGCCACATCCAGCGAGGGCGAGGGGCCCCGTGCAGCCAGCGGGAGCCACGCGGGTGTGCTGGTCCCGGCCGGGCCGTCCCCGCTCACACCGTGGACTCCTTGGCAGCCGCCCAGGCTCTCTGGCAGCCGTAGAGCCATTTGATGACACGGGCGTTGCGTTCCACCACCGAGACGGCGGAGCCCGGCCGGGTGTCCGGCTCCTCCTCGCCCGGCCTCGCGTCCCTCTCGCTGCCCCCCGAGGCCCTCCCGGGCTCGGAGTCGCAGGAGCCGGGGGGCCGGGCCGAGGCGCTGTCCCAGCCCGCCGGCCCGAAGCGCTCCCGGCCCAGCAGCTCCACCAGAGCCCGGTCCAGCCCGCAGTAATTGAAGAAGCGTTCCTGCTCCGACAGCGGCAGCGACACGCGCAGAGCCAGCGGCTCCTTGCCAGGGACACCGGGGGGCTGCTCCTCGGGGCTGCCGGGCACGGCGAAGATGCCACCGCTGTCACCGCCGCCGTCACCTCCCGGTGTCCGCGCCTCCTCCTTCTCCGCGGGCGACCACAGCATGGGGGTCTCGGGGCTCGGGGGGGCTCTGGGCCCCTCGCCCAGCGCCCTGGCGGGGGGCGAGCTGGGCGGTCTGTCTCTCAGGGGTCCCTGGAAGAGGCGCCGCACCAGCCCGGAGCCCTTGGTGTTCTCCTTGTCCCCGCCCAGGCAGTCCCGTTTCTGCCGGTAGATGATGAGCGAGTCGGGTCTCAGCAGGCGCCTGCTGCCGCTGCGGCGGGACACGGGGGACTGGGGGCACGGCAGCTTGCGGGGCCCCTCCCGGCCCAGCTCCGAGCCCGGGCACAGCTCCCCGCACTGCTGGCGGGCGAGCAGGCGGCGACCGTGCGGGGACAGGCGGGGCTCGCCCCGCAGCGCCGGCTCCTGCCTCCTGTTGATCACCTGCTGCGACTTCACGTACTTGGCCTTGTCGGCCTCCAGCCGCTCCACGGCGCTGGGTCTGCGGCCCCCGCTGCCCCCCGGGCCCTGCGGGCACTCGGGGCCCCGGTTCAGCCAGGCCAGGGGGGAGCCGCGGCCCGGGGCCATGAGGCGCAGGTTGCTGGAGGCGCAGACGGCGAGAGCGGGGCTGCCCAAGGGCACCATGGCCCCGGAACGGCGCTGCTGATCGCCCTGTGCCCTGCGGAGTGGCCGGGCAGCTCTGGGGTGGCCGCTGAAGCTTCGCTCTGCTCCTGGATTCAGCCCTGGGAGGAGAGAGGAGAGTCGCGGTCAGCCCCGAGGGTGCAGCGGTGAGGAGGAGGAGGATGAGGCTGAAGCAGAGCTGAGGGTCCCCTCACGGACAGCGAGTCCTGGCAGCCCAGGCAGGAACAACCCCTGGGCAGGAAGGGAGAAGCGCCGAGCATCCGCCGGCTTCACCCGCATCCCAGGAGCGGCTTCCAACAGGAAAAAATACCGGAGCCGCCTTGTCTTCCCGAGCGGCACAACAAAGCTCAGGGGAGCTGGCGAGCTGCCCCACGGCTGGGGGTGCTTGGGGGTCCCTGAGCCGTGCCCCATACGGCCAGGCTGGGCTGGGAGCAAAGATTCTCCCGTGTGGAGGGCACGGAACCAGCCCTGGGTGACAGCGGGGACACCGGGCTGGGCAGAGCGGAGCTCACGGGAGCAAAGAGCCCCGGAACTTTCTGCCACGCAGCCCAGGGGCTCCACACCGCACCCACCCCGGAGAACAGACCGGGAAACTGAGGCACGCGGTGTGTCCGGCTCCCGAGGGACGAGCACGAGCTCCCGTGCCCAGGCTGGGACTGCCCGTGCCAGGGGACCCTCACCCTCCCCAGCCCAGCCCCGCGGCCAGCACTTGTGCCAGCACCTGTGCCAGGCAGGTGGGGGATGCCCTCGCTCACCTGAGCCCACGCAGGGATGGGATGCAGGGATGCGATGCAGGGATGGGATGCAGGGATGCGATGCTCCCTTCTCACGCAGCTCCTGCCCCTCTGGCTGCCGCAGCAAGCTGAGCCCGGAGCCGGGAGCAGCCTCATATAGAGGATGAGGAAGAGGAAGAGCCACCCATTAACCCCTGCCAGCCCAGCCCCGCGGCAGGAGCCCACCCCGTGCCGACCCTGCCAGCGTGACCCCCCCTTCACAGCCCTGCCCCGCATTCCCCTCTTTCCTCCTGCAGCTCCAGCTCGCCCCTGCCAGCTCCTCTCCTCCCTCCGCTTCCTTACGGGAACCCGGCCGGGATTTCGGGATCTGCAGCAGAGATTTTTCCCTCCAGTCCCCCTGCACAGGGAGGGTCAGGAATGGGGCCGGGAATCCACTCCGGCAGCTTCTCCTTCTACCCCAGGGGTCTGGGGGCAGCTCAGGAGCAGGAGCCCACCACAGTCCCCCTCCCCAGGGTCCTGCCCAGGCAGGAAAGGAGGAAAGATCCTTCTGGCACCTTCTCCGGCGGCTGTGAAAGGGTCAAAGCCAGCCCCGAGCCGGCCGGTTCCTGCCTCTTCCCCCCGGGAAGGGCTGTAAATCGCAGGAAGCCACAATGGGCTGGAGCTGGCCCAGGGGTTATTTTTACCGCTGCCCTCTTCCCTTCCCGAGGGCCGAGTGCTCCCACAGGGACAATCCCGGCCCCCTCCATCCCCAGCTCCAGCCCGGGGGGCAGCGAACGTGGCACTGGAGCAGAGGGAAGGACCTGCTGCACCCCGGGCTGGGCTCCCAGACCCTCGCAGAGGGGCCAGGGAAAGCCCCCAGTGCTCGCCAGGAGCCACCAGCCCCTGCACCCCTGTGGCAGCCAGTTTGGACGGAGAGCTGGGGCACAGCCCAGCCCAGGCTGATCACAGCAGGGACAAAGCCCCAGATCCCGGGGTGAGAGGGGACCTGTCCGAGGCATTCCTGTCCCCACCCCAGTTCCTTCCTGAGGAGCTGCTGCTGCCAGTGCTGGGAACGGGGCCTGGGGCCGATGGCAGCAGGGCAGGAAGGGGCTGGGGCCAGGACTCCTGTGCTGACAAAAAAAAAAAAAGTGGAAGCTGGGCAGGATGAGAGGGGCCAGGCCTTGTTTGAGCTCAGCAGGCACGGGAAAGAAATTCCCAGTGAGAGCAAGGAAGGGACAGACCACCCCTCTAATAAACCTGGAGAGGAGCAAAGCAGGCAACACCGTGGGCTCTGTGTGCAGGATGTGGCTGCACTGGAGCAGATCTGGTGGAAGGCAGGGAATAGGATCAGGCCAAGTGATGGAGAAACCCTTGGCAGCTGAGGGATCTCCTCCTGGATTCCCTCGTGGACCTTAATTTTAACTCCAGGCAGCATGAATCACTGTTCATTAGGAAATGTTTTATTTTCCAAGCTGGAATCCCGGCAGCTCTTCTGGGAAAGCCAAGAGTGAGTAAGAGCAGCCTTGAAATCACCTTTCCCCATCAGGTGTTCCCAAGGGATGCTCTTCCCAAATGCCTGGCCCAGTGGTTTCCCTCCTTGGAGCACCTGCCAGACACTTGCTGCTGAACTGGAATATTTGAACAAGGCAGATTCCCTTTGGGATTAAAAAAAGGAAGATTTGAGGGGCTCTTCCTGGCATCAAACTTCCAGGCAGCTCCTGCTTTTCCTGGTGGTGGGGGTTTTGTCCCTGTGACTTCTAGGAAGGGATTTATCCCATTTTCCTCCCGGGGATGCACCAAGGGGCTTTTTGGAGCCACGTGGGTGCTCCAAGGTTATTTATTTTATTTAAGGTTACTCAGAGCTCTCTTCTGTGGGGCTGGAAGAGAGCACAGAGCTGGACATGCAAAACAAGCCCAGGTGAAGCCCAGCACAGCTGGGGCCAGGTGTAGAAAGTTCCAGAGTGAGAAAATGCAGAGAAGGTCCCCAAAGGCCAGAAATCCCAGATCCTCCTTCCACAGCATTTTCCTCTCCTGCTGAACCAACCCTGCTCCAGCTGAGCAGGAACCACCGTGTCCTGCTGAGCTCTTTCCAGGTGCATTTCTCCTTTCAAAAAATCATTTCAAAATTCACTCAGCTGCAGCCAGGAATGCAGCACCTGCTGCCCCAGCTGTCTCCACTGGCTGCTTCAACTCCCACCCCACAGCAGCTCCTCTGGCCTGAGCTCCAGGCAAATGCGGGAGCTGGGGAGGAGCCAGAGAGGGCTCGAGCTTTCCTCCAGGAGAGGGCAGGGGTGGAAAGCTTGTTGGACAAGTTTAAAAATACCGAGGGTTCAAACGGGCACAAATAAACCTGAAACCAGCACCTAATCCGAGGCAGGAACCCGCGTGTCAGTGCAAGTCAGAACTGGAGCAGCTCCTGTGGATGTTCCAAACCCCAAAAGGGCTCCAAACCCCCAGGAGAGGCTCCTGTGGATGTTCCAAACCCCAAAAGGGCTCCAAAACCCACGGCAGGTGAGGGCTGGGACCACAGGGAGAGCCAGGACAGACAGACACTGCAGGAGCTGCTGGGGTTGAGGGAAGCAAGGCCAGGGTCAGGATGGAGGCCTGAACCCAGCACTGCTGCAAAGGTTTTTAGGTTCCATCCCAAAAAAGAAGAAATAAATCTGAAATGGAACAGCCTGGGCTGGGGCTCCTCTTCCCAGCCCATCCTCGGGTCACTTGACACCTCCCTGCTCCTAAAAATGGGATTTCAGATTCCCCCAAAACACTTCCAGAGCTCCTGGGCAGCACCTGCAGCAGCTCCGGCTGCAATTCCCGTGTCCCTCAGATGCTGGGGATGGTTTGTGGCATTCCAGGCACAGGAACTGCACTTGGCAGATGGGAAGGGGAACAGGAGAGCCCCTGCCAGCAGCACGCACTGGAATTGGTGTTTAAATGCTCCAAACTGCTCTCCCTGGGCCAGGAGACAAAAGCCCCAGGAAGGAGCTGGGGATGTGTGGGACCAGAGCAGGGGGAGAAGCCACCCCAGCCCACCAGGGAGGGGAGAAATTTCCCTGCAGGAAAAACCTTTCCCAGGGCTGGGATGGAGCTGGGGCTTTACCTCCCTCACCAAGCCCCAGCTGCCAGCACAGGACAGCCGCTAAAAAAACTTTTGTTTTGTAAAACAAAGCAAAAAGGCGAGGTCCCAGCCCTGGGAACGGGGATGGGCGAGCTGGAACCTGAATCCTCCAAGCTTGGGTTCTCCCTGCCCAGATGGGGCTTTAATTATATCTAATTTCTGCACCAGGGCATTTCCCTGCAGGTTTCCCCACCCTCCCTATGGGCTAAATATATTTGAAGTACAGTACACATATTTTATATATATATATATAATGTATACACACATAGATATGTGAGGTTTATTTTTCTTCATTTTGTGGGGAAGGAATTCACCTTGTGTCTGTATTTAAAATCACCACTCTTAGAATTAGTCCCACTTTTGGATTTTTCTCCTTTTACTAAAGGTCTTTATCCCTTAAAAAAATGATTCTAAATCCAAACTGCATTGACTTGAGCACAAGGTTCCTGACAGGTGGGAATTCCAGGTGGGAATGTGCCCATTCCTGGCACCAGGAACCCACAGGTGGGCTCAGGTTTGTTGTGGGTGTAAGAAATTCCAAGAGAAATGAATTTACAGCATTTCCAGTCTGCAGATGCCTCTGTGCCAGAGCAGTGCTAATTAAAACATGCAAATGAGGGCTACACTTTCCTGTCATGGATAAATAATGATGTTTCCTCACCTTCACTCCTAAGGTTTCTCAGGGCAAGTGGGAACAGCAGGACTCTGTCCCTGGAGGGCAGCACTCACTGAAAGCAATTCCCCATTAAAAAAAAATCCTAAAACTCCATGGAAATTCAAGATTTTATTTCAAAAACAGTCATGAACTTAATAAATTACACAATAATTTTCCTCATTATAAATTCTCCATAAAATATATTTTACAGTTTTTTAAAGAAAAACATGGAAAAAAAAAAAGAACAACAATCTTTCCCAAGTGCTGAAAAGTGTCTTGACTTCGTGTCACGCTGGTGAAGGACCCCCCTGCTACCACAGCTTGATTTCTTTTCTCAAAACAAAGACCTCAGACAACAACAACAAAAAAAAATAAAAAAAAAAAAATCAAAGAGAACACAGAGCTCGAGGACAAGCACCATGAGAGGGATTTTCAGGTACCCCCAACCTATAAAGTGGCAATCAGTGCAAAGAAAACACTTTGGGAGTCAAAAACCCCCAAACTCAGAGGGGAGCAGAGTTATTCTGGTTATCACTTCTGGGTGGGTAAGTCAGGGGGATGCTCTCACCCCTTTGTTTTTAAAAAGCTCCCGAGTTTAACTTGAATTATAAACGAATTTTTCTCATCCAATGGCCCTGCTGAGGTGTGAGAACTGGGAGGCAGAGTTGGCACAAACAAAGTGTGTTTGTCTGAGGATCATTCCCTAAAACCAGGAGGTGAAAGAAAAGAACAAGAATTATCAACTAAGGCCAGCTGGGTGACAGCCACCAGCTCACACAGCACCAGGTAAGAAGCACCTGTGGCTGCAAAGCCTCAGAAGTGGGGTGCAATCAGAATCCTTTGCTTTAGGAACAACAACAACAAAAAAATCATATTTTGTTTATTTGCACTCAAAGAATAAACATTGAGTGCTCAGAACTGCTGTCCCAGCACTAAGGGGGAACAGTATTTAAAAAGAAAATTATACAAGGAAATACTTACAGACATTTTCAGGTAAGATTTGAGTGGGGGAAAAAATCAAATTGGATTATTTTAAAGAAAAATGGCCTTTCCTGCAGCTTTAAAGGCAATTTGAAGACTCTGCTTTTTTCCCCAAAAGGTCAAACTGGATGGGAAAGGTCAGACCTGCACACAAAGGAGCAAAGTGTTGTGCTGGTACAAAGAGCTGCAGTGTCAGGTGGCTCCTCCTCAGTGCAGCCAGAGCTGGGGAGGAGCAGCTCCCAACTGCTCCAAACCCCCCATCTGTGCTTTTAAATAAAGATTACTTCTTTAAAAGGAGGAAAAATAAGAATAATTTAAAAAAATTTTAAAAAATATAAAAATCAAGCCAGGCTGGCACCTCTCACATACCTGTCACTGAGCTTTCTGCCAGCTCTGGCAGCAGCTGTGAGCCAGGGATTCTGAAGGATTTTTAGAATGTGCTGCTGCATTCCCTCATCCATGTCCCCATAAACTGAGGGCACAGGATTCTGCTGTGATAAATCCTCAAGCTGCTACAGGATTGTGGACACCAGGGCAGAGAGGATGTAGAGAAAAGGCAGATTAATTGATTAATAAAAGCAAAAAAATCAAATGATCAATGAGCCAGCTGCCCTGCCAGCACCTGACTGTACATTTTTAATTTGACTCCCTCAGTGATGAGCTCATTAAGCTCTAAGTGCTAAGATCAGCCACGTTAGCACTTGGAAAGCAGCTGATCCCCTTGCATTGCTTTTTTTTGTTTGTTTGTTTACAAAGTCAAGTCTTTGAAATTAGATAAAAATAAATAATAAAGTCATTCAGGCCCGGGGAAGAAGGGATTTTTTTTTTCTTACCCACCTTCTTCACCCAGATTTCTAGCAGACCCCAATCATCCAAACCCACAGCAAATAATTTAAGTGCCACACACTCCCAGTCACTCATGTACATAAATATATACACAGATTACACGACAAAGCCTCAAGATTTGCACTGCCAGCATGCAAACCTTTTTCTTTTTTTTTTTTTCCTTTTCCATGAGAGCTCCTAATACTGACACAGGAACGTGGAATGTGTGAGACACTCCATGGCAGAGTGCTGGAAATCAAGTAGTGTTGGCTCTTTGCACCATCCCCCTGCCCGTGCACGCCGAGGAGCAGCCCCGGGCCTCACTCTGGCATTTCCCACCTCGGCCAACTCAACATTCCCGTGGGGAAAACTCCGGCCAGGTGAGCGCAGCCCCCTCACGTGTCCCAGCTGCTGTCCTTGAAGGCGATGTTGACCAGCCTGAGCTCCAGCTCGAAGGCGTCCGGCCTGTCCTGAGGGTTGGCCGCCAGCATCTCCTTGAGCAGCTGCTTCATGCGGCCGTTCATGGATTTCTTCTTGACGGGGATGAGCAGCTCCATCTTGGGGTTCTCCAGCAGCGCCTCGCCCACGGGCACGATGGCCGTGCCCTGCCTCACGTAACTGCCCAGCAGCTCCTTCTTGGTCTCGGTGTCGATGAAGGTGATCCTCTCCAGCATGGCCCAGATGATGATGCCCAGGGCGAAGATGTCAGCCTTGGCCGTGTAGTGTCCCTCCCACACCTCGGGGGCCATGTAGAAATCGGTGCCGCAGGCGGTGGACAGGAAACACTTGTTGACGTTGACGGGCTCCTCGGGGTTGTGCCCCGAGGCCGAGCACACCTTGCTCAGCCCAAAATCCGCCACCTTGAGGGTGGGCTCGGGGTCGCTGGTGTCTGCCCGGCCCTGGGAGATGAGGATGTTGTCGGGTTTGAGGTCCCTGTGGATGATCTGGTTTTTGTGCAGGAAGGCCAGGGCGCTGCTGAGCTGCAGCATGAAGCTGGTGTTGGTCCTGCGGCTGGGCTTGCGGGACAGCAGGTACTCGTTCATGTCTCCCCCGTCACAGAAATCCATCACAAACCACAGGTAATAAGCACTTTTGGGGTCAAAGGCTATTTCTCCTTTTAATGAGGTTTCTACGAGCTGCAATGAGGAAAAGGAAATTTGGTAACTACCTGGTGATCCTGACAAGGAAAGGGTGTGATGGAAAAATGCATGAGAGCAGGATCTACACGGAGAGGGGAAATTTGGGTTAGTTACAGAGCAGGAATTCCTCCCTGTGGGGCTGCTGAGGCCCTGGCACAGCGTGCCCAGGGGAGCTGTGACTGCCCCTGGATCCAACCAAGGCCTGGCTGGAGCAGCCTGGGGCAGTGGAAGATGTCCCTGCCCATGGGAATGAGATGGGGATTAAGATCCCTTCCAACCCAGACCATTCCAGAACTGCTCGACCCTCCTCCCAACAATCCAGAGAGCAAGATATTGCAACGGGGGTGGGGAAAGAAAACATTATGCAAATGTTTTTACGTAAAAGAGCAAAAAAAAAAAAAAAACCACCAAAAATCACAATGTATTTGCCAGCCTCCTTATCTTCACTCGTGTGGAGCGTATCAAGCTCAGGCTTCTGCCCAGCAGCAGAGCTCGACCCTGATAACAGAATTTTTAAAGATACCCAGTGGCCATTGCCCTCCCATCTGTCCCAGCTGGACACAGTCCCACCCTGACAAAGCCTGTCCCACCCACTTTGCCAACAGCTTTTCGGGATAAACAAAGTCTCACAAGTAACCCCACACAGCCCTATTTATCCATTAGAGATTTTTACAGCCTGGTCTCCATTCCTGACACATTAATGAATTCCAGCAAATTAACACAGGATCCCTGAACTCAGGAGAACGCTGATCTGCAGGCACAGCTGAGCACAGAACACCCTTCCCACCATCATTATCCACATGGAATTTCCAGGAGCACAAGTTGAACAGCCAGTTCTTACAGCTGCACACAGAAAGCAAAGTAAAACTTGCAATCACTTTTACTAATCCTGTTTACACAACTGCATTTGCCTCTTCAGCTCCTCTGAGGTGGCTCTGGAAGGAAAGTCCTGCAATTATTTCTGTTAGTAGTACACCACTGGATACTAAATCAAACTGACTTTCAAAAGTGAAGAGGTGTGTTAATATCTAGAGAGGCATTTTGAAACGCTTTTAAAAAGTGACCTTTTCAAGAGAAAAAAATGGTATTAAATTACAGCTATCATCCCAGACCAATTTAAACAGTAAATCTATTTTAGAGCTAAGAAATGCCTTCTTTAGGGTTTGTAGTCAGGAATGGTGAGATTAAGATATCTCAGGAGAGCAGGGAGCCTCCTGTGCCAAGAGGGCACCAACACTGAGTCACAGGAGCTGCACTTGCAGGTGCTGTGAGAGTTAAGGCAACAAAAATCCACCCCCCTCATCTGTGACAGTGCCAAAGCACCAGACAAGGCTGACTCAGGACTCAAACTCCACAGATTTGGTTCATTTGGCACTGAGCATCTGCCCCAGGGCCCTTGAGGAGAGGGTGCAGCCGTTCCTCACCCACAGCAGCAGCTCAGCTCTGGGATTCCAGCTGGAGGAGGAGAGGCTGAGCCAAGGGGGGGGTCTGGCTGTCCTTGGTTCAAAGCGAGCCCTGCAGTCAGCTCAGCTCTGCCCTTTGCCCTTGCCCCTGGAGCAGCACAACAATCCGAGCTGTGTGCACCTGGCAGGGCCCGGATCCCTGTGCCAGCTGGGCAGTGCCCAGCACCACCACCCCAACCTTGCCTGGCAGCTCTGCCCCACCCCGGGGCTCCCGAAGCTCCTCCCTGCACATCTGCCCTCCAGCTGGGAGCAGTCCCTGGCAGCTCCACTAAAACCAGCAAGGTAAAACCTCTCACCTCTCCCCCTGAGCTGCCCAGAATTATTTTAGCCTAATCCCTCCATGAAAACAAGTCGGGAGCAGCTCCCAAGCCACGGGGAGTTGGCAAAGCTGAGGATCTCAGGCTCAGAGAGGAGCTGGCACCTGCAGGGCTGCTCCCCACCAAGGGGCACAGCAGACACAGGAGTGACAGTGAGAACTGAAATAAAAACAGCTGGCTAGGGCTAACACAGCAAACACTCAGCAGGCTGCTGCCTTTTTAAACCAGGAACACAAATTTCTGCCCAGGGGTGATTTATACTTGGGGCTGCTTCTTGATAAGGGAATTAATGTATTTCCAGAGCTACTTATTGTTCAAACATACACATCTTCAAACTTAAAGGACACTTCCAGAGTGATATGTATTCCCTTATTTATGCCTTTACCACTCTTTGAATAGATTAATAGTTACTTATTAAAAAATAAAACCAGCACATGATGTGCTACCAATTGATTCTTGTTTCTGAAATAATTTCAAGTGTTGGCTTCCCAGAAATCAAGACCCTGATTTCCTCTTCCAAGGACAGCCAGGATGGAATTCCTCCAAGCTCTGTGCCAGGACAGGAGTGCTCTTTAACCTGCAGCTGCCAGGAACTCCACAGCCTGCACCTCCCCTGGGCTTCCTCAAATGACCAAAGCAGATTTGCATTAAATACAAATTCTGGAGTCTTTCAGAGCAGCAGAGCTTCAAACCCAAGATCTGGGTGACTCTTCTGTTTGCTTTTTTTAAAAAACTCCGTTAAATTCAGGGCGTCAGCAATGCAAACAACCCCGTGGCCTAACTAAGCCCGGCTCAAACCCAGGAGCTGCCCCACCTCCTTCCTTCCCCCCAGCTCCACGTGGTGACCGATTCCTTCCACCCCGTGCCCTCGTCCGGGTGTACCTGCAGATACAGGGAGGAGCCGGAGCCATGGGACATCTTCTGCACCATGCCATCTTTCTGCAAGATGCACTCCTCCAGGTGAATGACGTTGGGGTGCTGGCTCTTGATACTGCTAAGGGCCCAGAACTCACGCAGAGCCAGTTCCACGTTCTCGGGAGCGTGGCACCGGATCTTTTTCACGGCCACGCGGGCACAGGTCCTCCTGACGAGCGCTTCGTACACCACACCATAACTGCCACGACCAACCTCCCGAATTAGATCGTACTTAGGCTGGCTACTCACCATCTTCAAGAGCAAAGGTTCTGGGGAAGGGGGAAAAACCCACAGAACTAAAACTTAGGCACAGGAACCCAGCTGGTTTGTTTTTTTGTTGTTTTGTTTTTGTTTTTTTTTTTCCCCCCCTAGGGGCTGGCCTGCCCAGACCCCGCCATTAACGGGGGGTCAGTGCTGGAACGTTCCAGAAGCTCCTCCATCAACCTGCACCTGCTGCCACGGGCCAGGTGGGAAAGTGAAATTACATCTTTTCGTTAAGATTTCAAACACAGCCCGGCGTGCTCAAGGTGGCAACAATTCAAACCTAGACTGGTCTGGTGCCGAGGCAGGACTATCGAGAACGCTCCTGCTCCTCTCCCTCAGTGTCTTCCGTGAGCATCTGCAGGAATAACAGGAGGCTGTCATGCTCCCCATCCAGCCTGGAGAGCACAGGAGGTCCCAGCTGCAGCCAGGAACAGATTTGAATTAACTGCCTTTTCCTGGAGGTGACTGCAGGAGCAAACGTTTCTGTTATAATTAAGTTGTTTAACTCAGAGAAGAGAAAGCTTCAGTCGCTCCCGATTTATTTTTTGGAGGTGACTGACTTTTCACCAAGCCTCCTCTGCATGAGGAATCTACAGCTATGAAAGGTTAAAAAGGGTAACTGATTGCAAAAGTTTGCACCCAGCATCTAACTTTCACTTTTGCTCAACAGAGCAAGGACAAAAGTTAAGTAATTGCTCTGAAAGTAAAACAAGACACACACACACAAAAAAAAAAAGAAGGAAAAAAAAAAAGCCACCAAACCCTGCTGCAGATTTATGACCCTCCCTGCACGCTGCCTTACAAGATTACAAACCAAACACCAGCACCACCTTCACACAACCAAACCAAAATGGGACACTGACTAGAGACAGCAATAAATTAAAACAAAAAAATAAAAGCTTGACTAGCCAAGGATCACTGGCCAAACAGAATGAAATGCAAAACCAAAAGTAAATAAATAAATAAAATCACACTGATAGATCTACAATAGCTTTAAGACAGCCAGTGATAAAGGTAATTCTCTTTATGTCAGGCAATAAGGACCACATCGAAAGGGCCTGTTATTAGTAGGAAGCTTTCAAGTATTTCCACTGCTTTAGGCAATTTTAAGGGGAAAAAAAAAAAAGGAAAAAAAGAAAAAGAGAGAGAAAAAAGGTATCATCAGTGTCAGGCAATGCTACAGAGATATTTTAACCTTTCAGCAAAGCTGTATGACGGGCATTTGCAGTAAGGTTTTGAACCAAGATGTGACGTGTGTGAGAAACGCGTTGCCAAGAGAATCCACTCACGGCACGGGCCGAGGCTGAGCCGGCAGCTCCAGCCCTGAACACGGAGAGCCCACGGGCCAACGGGGCCGGGAGCTGCCAATTCCCCACGGGCCCAACAGCTCCGGGGGAAAACACCGCGCTGCGTTCCTCAAACACGGGCACACCGGGTTCCGAGCGGGCACCGAGCGTTCCCCCGGGCCGGGAGCCGGCTGGCACCGTGGCACTGGCACCGTGGCACTGGCACCGTGGCACTGGCACCGCGCCGAGCCCCGGGGCTGCCCCGGCCCCGCTCCGCCCGCGGTGCTGCCCGAGCCGACACCGGGCCGGGGCCTCGCTCCGGGCCCGCGCAGCGCCACCCGCCAACTTAACGGCGGCAATGATGGAATAATAGAAATATATCAACACTATGGAGAGTATAAATGCAGCCCTCCTGCTCGGGGAGGCCGCACCGCGCCCCCACCTGCGCTTGTGAAGGGAAGCACCGGCGCACCGCTCGCCCCACAGGGCGGGAGACGATGCCGGCCCGCTGGGCCCTGCCCGCCGCGGCGGGTATCGGCTCCCTTTCCCCGAACCTGCAGCGCGGAACCCGCCCCGCTACAACCCCCCCAGGGCCCGGGGAGGATGCGGGGCCGCTCCCGGGCCGGGCCGAACCGGGAGAAGCCGCGTTACCTCAGCGCCTCCGCCGCCGCCGCCCGGCCGCCATCTTAGGGCTGCGCTCCGCCCGCCCTCCCCAGCGCGGCCACGCCCACCCAGGGCACAGCGCCCTGTGATTGGTCAGCTGGGGGAGGGGCGGGGCGAGCGCCGTGGGCGTTTAATTATATCAATTAATCAATTAATTAATCAATTAATAACTTCAATTTCTGTTTATTAATTAGGAGTTGTTGCCTGTGAGGTCCTGGCACAGGCGGCCCCTGGATCCCTGGCAGTGCCCAAGGCCAGGCTGGACATCGGGGCTGGGAGCAGCCGGGGACAGTGGAGGTGTCCCTGCCATGGCACGGGTGGCACTGGATGGGATTTAAGGTCCTTCCAAAATAAACAATTCCGTGATTTATTGCTTGATGTGCAGAAAAAATCAGTACAGCCCCTCCCGCCCTTGGCTGCGCTCTGGTTGTTGTATGGTTGCTGCTGTCTGGCTGGTTGTATGACAGTGACACAAGAGCTGTCGCCCCTCTGTGTTCCCTGTTCTGTGCCATGTTCCCCGTTCCTCCCCAGGCTGCAGGGCTGGAAGTGCCCCCCATGCCCAGGAGCTGGGGGCACAGGGCTCCTGGCACAGGCCCTGCTCTCTCCTCAACCATTGCAAAGCCACCACAGGGACATTTCGGTAGAAGCCGGGGCCACCTACTGCTCAGAGCCCTGCGAAGACCGAGCAGAGTGAAATTCATTCCTGTAGTGGGCTCTCCAGGGTTAATTGGGAAGGATCCCGGGGGTGATTAATGTCCTGGGTCTTGCCTAAGCTGTCCCAAGCCAATTAGGGGCCAACGAGCCCCTTGTGGGTTCGGAAAGCTGCTTAGGGCATTAGCACCCCTCCATTCCCGTGAATCCCCTTAATCGAGTCCAGAAGCAATTAGTTAATCAATGTCACCCAGGGCAGGGCCGGGTTGTGTCTGGGTCCGGGCAGTGACGAGCCCTGCGCTGCCCTCCCGGGTGCCCAGCCAGCCCTGTTCTCCTGCCAGTGCCCGGCTGGCAGAGCCCCAAGTGCCGGAACGGGAACAATTTTGCAAGATGTGCCTGGCAGGGCCCGGCACAGTCACTCGCTCCACACGTGAGCCAGGGCGGAAGGAGCCCCGAAACAGCTGTGGGGCCACCCCGACAGTGCACCCCGACACCGTGTGCCTGTCCAGGTGTCCGTGTGTCACACATCCATGTACCTGTGCACCCATTTATCCGTGTACACCTGCACACCTACACACCTACACCTGTACACCCAGGTACCCCCCGTACCCCTCCCTACGCTGTTCCCCCATCCTGACCCGTCTGTGCCCAGGCTAGGGTTACCCTCTGCTGGCACAGCTGCCCGTGCTGAAGCTCTCCCTGTGGCCAGCACTGGCCCCTGGCCAGCCAGCTGGGCATCGTGTCTGGAGCTGTTTTCAGCGAGGCCTGTGCTCACCCTCTGCCCCTCCAGCGTTTTCTGGGTCAGTTTTGAACCCCAGCAGCGGAGCCAGCTGGGTCACGGCTGTGTTTGTGGTCACAGAGGAGCATGGCATGGGGACTGCAACTCCCCAGAGCTGCCTGCCCCCTCCAAGCACGCAGGGAGTCACTGGCGAGGTGGTTGCACCCCAGAAGTTGCCATGGTTTGGGTGGGGAAAGGGACAAACTGTTCAATCCACCCCCTGCTGCAGCTGGCTCAGTCCTGCCTGATTTCTGCAACCATCACAATGTCTCAATGACCACGGGGCTGGTGTTTGCCCCTCTGATGTCCCCACTCTGATATTTTGGGGCCCGTGCCGGTCTCAGGACGTGCCACCCCTTGTCCGGGGGGCAGCGCGTGGCTCTGTTTATCCCGCAGCTCCAGTTTGGGAATGAGCCCGGCACGGGCGGGCAGCGCTTCCCGGACAGCCTGTGCCCATCTTGTTTACCGGGGCTCGCCGATGTCTCAGCGCCGTGTGACAGGTGCTGTCCCCGACACCCGACACCGTCGGGATCGCGATCCGCGTGACAGGGACGGCGATTTATAAATAGCGGGGCGAGGGGCGCCGGCAGCGAGAGCGCTGAGAGGAGAACACTGCCGAGCCCATGGATTTCCAAGCCGGTATCCTGCAGGATGGCAGCCCCATGGAGAGCCTGGAGAAGCAGCTCATCTGCCCCATCTGCCTGGAGATGTTCAGCAAGCCCGTGGTGATCCTGCCCTGCCAGCACAACCTGTGCCGCAAGTGCGCCAACGACGTCCTCCAGGTGAGGCTGAGCTGGGATCCGCTCCGTCCCCACCCCGCGCTGGGGGGACACTGGGATGTTTGTGGGGACACTGGGATGTTGTGGGGACACTGGGATGTTTGTGGGGACACTGATGGACCCCCCCCCCCCGCGATGTTCATCTTCCCCTCGCAGGCCGCCAACCCGTACTGGCAGAGCCGGGGCAGTTTGATTTCGGGGGGCCGGTTCCGGTGCCCCTCGTGCCGGCACGAGGTGCTGCTGGACCGCCACGGCGTGTACGGGCTGCAGAGGAACCTGCTCGTGGAGAACATCATCGACATCTACAAGCAGGAGTGCTCCAGGTGGGCACGGGGGCTGTGGCGGGGGGGACACGGGGATATGGGGACATAGGGACGCGGGGATGGCCCCCTCCCATACCCCAGCACCAGCACCGAGACCCCCAGGGATTGCACCTGGGGGTCTTTCTGTTCAGTGATTATCGGGGTTTGCCCTTTTCTGACCCCAGAGATGGGGCAACTGAGAGGTGTTTTAAAAAACTACTTTTTTGGGAATGGTGGGGAAACCATGTCCCACAAGTGATCCCCAATTCAAACTTTTCCTAACTCCAATCTTTCCCCCCGACCAAAATCTTCCTCCCGTGACTCAAAACTTCCTCCCCGGACCCAAAACTTCCTCCCCTAAGCCAATTCTCCCCTCTGTCCAGAGCAGTTTGTGCCTCTGGCTGTCCCCAGGGGGGTGGTGACAGCTGGGCACGTCCTGCTGTCCCCCCAGTGCTCCTGCTGGAACATTCGGTGGGAGATAAGAGGTGTGGGGGACGAATCCCGGCTCTGCTCGTGACAACAGGCACTGAGGCTGATAAGGGGCAGAGGGACAGTTTGGGGGGGCCCCAGTGGGTACAAGAATGGGGGACAGAGGGGTCTCGAGGCAGAGCTGTGGCCCCGGCCAAGTTTCCTGGACCGCTGTAAATATTGTGTGAGAGCCATGGGGACGGGGAGGATGGCACGTGGCAGGTGGCCGGGGGGGCCGGGGGGCCGGGGCCTGTCCCTGTTTCAGAGCCTTGGCTTGTCCCCGTGTCCCTCCTTGCTGTGGATGGGATGACTGAGCTGCAGCCCCTGTCTGGGACCCCCCCCCCGGGGATTTCTGGGTGTCCCCACCCCGGTCACGCGATGGGTGACAATAAATCCGGGCAGCACAGGGCTAAAATTAGGCTCTGGTGCAACAACTGTGGATTACAGCCCCTCCCCGTCCCCTCTGCCATGCCCAGTGCCACGGTGGCTTAAACTGGGACATACTGGGCTTTACAGAGGCACAGAGCTCGGTGGCTCCCAAAGCAGCAGCTCTGCGGTTATGCCAGGATCCAGCCTCTTTCCTGGGGACCTGATTTTGGGGTGACAGTGGGGGTGTCCCTGCAGCGGGGACATCACCCTGGTGTGGATGTCACCGTGATGGCGACGTCACCGTGGCCGTGCCGCCCTCTCCAGCAGGCCCCTGAAAAAGGGGGAGCACCCCATGTGCAAGGAGCACGAGGACGAGCGGATCAACATCTACTGCGTCACCTGCGAGGTGCCCACCTGCTCCATGTGCAAAGTGTTCGGTGCCCACAAGGACTGCGAGGTGGCCCCTCTGCAAACCGTGTTCCAGGGACAGAAGGTGCAGTGGGGGGGACCCGGGGGGGGCTGCGGGGGACACTGTGCTGAGCTAGGACAGTGACAAATAACACCGGGACTGGCTCACGGGGTATTAATAGCCCCCCGGGTGACTTCGCCCAGGAGACAGACTATATTTAGAGCAGCCGTGGCTGCTGAGGGGCGTGGGGGAGCAGAGCTGGGGCCAGGCAATGCCCAGCCCGTCCCCATGCTGGGATGGGAGAAGCTCCTGTCTCCAAGGGAGTTCAAACTTCTTCTCTCTGTGCCTCACCAGACTGAGCTGAACAACTGCATCTCCATGCTCGTGGCGGGGAATGACCGCATCCAGACCATCATCACCCAGCTGGAGGACTCCTGCCAGAGCACCGAGGTGAGGAAAGGGGGGAAAGCAACCCCCCCCAAAAAACCGGGGGGTAAAACCTGAGCCGGGCATGGCAGGGAAGCCTTGGGATGCTGCAGGTGCCGGAGGGACGCGGAGGTGACATCCCTTGTCCCTTATCCCCGCAGGAGAACAGCGAGGCGGCCAAGCGGGAGCTCTGCGCTCGCTTTGACGCCCTGGCAGCGCTGCTGGAGGAGAAGAAGGCGGAGCTGCTGCAGCGCATCTCCCAGGAGCAGGCGGACAAGACCTCCTTCATCCAGAGCCTCATCTGCCAGTACAAAGAGCAGCTGGAGAGGTCGAGCCGGCTGGTGGAGACAGCGATCCAGGCAGCCGAGGAGACCGGGGGGGCCGCTTTCCTCATGGTGAGACCCCCCAAACCTGCCCCTGCCCGCTGGTGCCCCACGGGGTCCCACTGTTGGGGACGATCTGGTGGCTGCTGTGGCTTCACTCACCCCCTTCTCCTCCCTCTTCTCCTCCTTCTCCTCTCCACAGAATGTCAAGCAGCTCATAAAAACGTAAGTGCTCAAACTGGGGAAATCTCCACGATCCAAGCCCCGCGGGCAGGGTTTGGGGGGTGTGGGGGATGCCCTGACCCCCTGCCCTGCTGCCCCACGGTCCCCAGCTCAGTGAGGGGACAGGGACACTCACATCCCCGCTCTCCCGGCCCAGGATCGTGGAGGCCTCCAAGGGTGGTCGCCTGGACAAGATCGAGCAGGGCTATGAGAGCATGGACGCCTTCTCCGTGAGCCTGGACCACCTCACCGAGGCCGTGCGTGCCCTGGACTTCGACCCCGGTAATTGAGCCCCCAACGCCCCTTTAGCGACCCCCACCCAGCTGGTGACACCCACTGCTTTTCCTGGTGGCTCCTGGTGACCTTTGGCCGCTTGTTTGCAGCAGATGAAGATGAGGAATACTTTGATGGCGAGGAAGAAGAGGTGGAAGAGAACGCAGCGCCCGAGACGACAGTGATGGGTAAGGGACACAGCACGGCTGAACCCAACTCCCCAGGACCCTCCAGCACCCATGGGGGAGCTTTGGGGGCTTGGGCTCTCCTTCATCATCCCATCCTCTCCCTCAGCAGCTTCCCTGTAGCCACAGCAACGTTGCCGGCGGTGGAGAAACGCCCCCGGGCACGGGATGTCCGGCGACGGATTTGGGATGGGGGGGACACACGGCAGGGACCGGCAGCCTGGCGAGCCGGAGCCTGCTCCAGCACAGGACACTTTTCTATACGGGTGCAAATAGGACAAATTCCGCACGTTTTATAATTCCCTTGTTTTGTATATAATTGTCACGGATTTGAAATTTGTGTATTTTATAAAGAAAACTGGTGCTTCGGGTGCTTCTTTTCTTCCTCGCCTCTCGCTCTCGGCTCGCCGGCCCCGCTCTGGGCACCGGGGATGGGTTTGCCAGGCTGGTGGCATCACCTCCCGTACGTCTCTTAATTTCCAGCCTCATTAGCACCTCTGGCAGCGCTGGCAGCCGCTCCTGGCCGCCTGCCCGGGATGTAACAGGTCGGCACCCGGCAGGATTTATCTCCTGGGCATGGGATGCCCGGTCCAGAGCTTGCCCCAGGCTGGAGATGTGGCACAGGGGGGCTGAGGATGCTCCAGGCTGGGCCAGCCCCTGACATGGGGATGGTCTTGGCATGGAGCTGCTGGTTTGCTGCTGACTGAGCTCAAAAATACACCTCGGATGAAAAAATACAGCCATAAATGAAAATATACATCCTAAATGCAAAGGAACCCCATAAATGCTTTTCTCTTGCAAAAACACAAATCCTGCTCGGTGGAGGCCGAGGGGAAACTGAGGCAGTCCCCAAAGCTGAGCCACAAGTGCAATTAGCCCCGGGGTAATTAACCCTGCTCAGCCAGGGTGGGGGGAAAGGAGGAGGGGGCGTCCAGGTTTATCCATCCCATGGCTGGATCTAAACTGGGGGGTTCCGGGGCTCCCCAAAGAGGGGAGGGGGGGTCACCGTGTGCCTTTGGAGGGGACCTGGGGATGTTCCATCCCCCTGTGCCCCGGGGGCTGCACCCAGCCCGGCCGTGCAGCTCCTGGGAACGCTCTGGGGGGGTCCCAGAGCAATCCCCCCTCCCCAGCAGCCCCTCGGGTATCGGGCGAGGGGGCCCAGCCTGGGGCCGGCTCCGCGGGCGCTTTGCAGCCGGCTTGGCCGTCCCTCCTCCAGCCGGGATTTGCACACGAATCCCGGCTCTTCACACGGGCCGAGGCCACCGGCTGCCACCAGCGCCGGCCACACGCCGGGGTCACCCGCGCCGACCCGCAGGAGGAGGAGGAGGAGGAGGAGGAGGATGGCACCCGGCGACGAGAAACGGCACCTCCTGAGCGAGGGCACCGGCGGGTACGGGGGGGCCCGGGGGGGTGGGGATGTCGTGACCCCTCTTTGCTCTGCGGCTCCCGAGTGGGGTCTGGCCGGGGAACGGGCTGGGGGGCAGCGCTCAGGGTCCAGCCCGCCCCCCAAAGTCCCCCCCAGCCCCAACCACCCCTTTCCCGGCAGGTCCTATGTGGGGGCTGCGCTAAAGGACGGGCACAAGGCGGAGCAGGGACAGGAGCCCGCCCTGGAGCTGGGGACACGGCGTGGCCAGCACTGCCACACGCGGGGGCCCGATGGCCACCCCGGCCACCAGCAGCGGGCGCGCAGGAAGCTTTACCTGGCCGCTGGCATCTGCCTGTTCTTCATGGTGGGGGAAGCCGTGGGTGAGTGCGGGGTGGTCCCTGTGGGGTCACCCGAGTGGCCGCCCAGAGCCCCTCTTGTCCCCATTCCCTGCTGTGGGTGCGGCCAGAGCTCCCCGTTGGCTTTCTGTGGGTCAAAACACCCAGTGGGACCCCACTGAGGGGGCGGGGTGAGCTGATCTGTGCCCAGCTCGGGGAAATACCCCTGATGTCCCCCCGATGTCCCCCCGATGTCCCCGCGATGTCCCGTGTCCTCAGGGGGGTACCTGGCACACAGCCTGGCCATCCTGACGGACGCTGCCCACCTCCTGACGGACTTTGCCAGCATCATGATCAGCCTCTTTGCACTCTGGGTGTCCTCACGGCCCCCCACCAAAACCATGAACTTCGGATGGTACCGGGCAGGTAACGCGGTGGCAGCACCTTGGGGATGCCATGGGAGCACCCCGGGGTGCCCTCCCCGTGCGGACCGGGGGCTTTGGGGTGCCCTGAGGTGCGTGGGGAGTCCTGGCCCCATGAACAAGTGCAAGGAGCATCCCCGGGGATGAGCGCTGGGTGCCCCCCGTGTGCCCCAGCACTGCCGGGGAGCCGGGGATGGTGCTCGGGGTGACACAGAGTGAAGCAGCAATGCCGGGGGGGTCTCTCCGCAGAGATCCTGGGGGCCCTGCTCTCCGTGCTCTCCATCTGGGTGGTCACGGGGGTCCTGGTCTACCTGGGGGCCCAGCGCCTGCTCTCGGGTGACTACGACATCGAGGGCGGGGTGATGCTCATCACCTCCGCCTGCGCCGTGGCCGTCAACATCGTGTACGTACGGGCCACACGGCCCCTGCCCTGCCAGGCTGTCCCCTCCCGGAGCCTGGCGGGCCCTGGGGTGTCACCAGTGCCCTGCCCGCAGGATGGGGGTGGCTCTGCACCAGACGGGCCACGGGCACAGCCACGGGGCGGGCGGCGAGCAGCCCAACGCCAGCGTCCGCGCCGCCTTCGTGCACGTCGTGGGGGACCTGCTGCAGAGCGTCGGCGTCCTCATCGCCTCCTACATCATCTTCTTCAAGGTCTGCGTGGCACCGGGGGCAAACGGGGTGCTAGGGACACCGGGACAGCGGTGGCCGGGGCGAGACAGAGGGTCCTGATGGGGATTTGGGGTGAGGTGGCGGTGCCGGAGGGGTCTCACCCCGTCCCACCCCCTCCAGCCCGAGTACAAGTACGTGGATCCCATCTGCACCTTCCTCTTCTCCGCGCTGGTGCTGGGGACAACGCTGACCATCCTCCGCGACGTCCTCCTCGTCCTCATGGAGGGTAGGGACACCCCGAGGGGGGCACTGGGCAGCGGGGTCACCCATGGGTGCCCCGTCCTGCAGCTCCTGCCGCTCTGCCCCCGCAGGGACCCCCAAAGGGATGGATTTCAACGCGGTGCGGGACACGCTGCTGGCGGTGCGGGGCGTGGAGGCGGTGCACAGCCTGCACATCTGGGCACTGACCGCGACACAGCCCCTGCTCTCGGTGCACATCGCCATCAGTGAGTGTCACAGCGGGGGGACAGGGAAATCGCCCTCAATGAGTGTCACAAAGTCGGGCGGGAAGGGTCGCGGTTTCCCCGCACCCCAACATTCCCCAATTTTCTCCCGGCAGACGCGGCTGCCAGCGCGCAGGAGGTGCTGGACGAGGCCAGCTCGCGGCTGCAGGGCGCCTTCCACTTCCACACCACCACCATCCAGGTGGAGAGCTACTCCGAGGAGATGCGGGACTGCCGGGAATGCCAACCCCCCCGCGACTGACTCCTGCCCTGCATCCCGGGGGACTTTCCATGTGTGGAAAATAAAGCAGAGCGCACGGGGGTGTGTGGGGGGATGTTGGGTCTGGGTGTTCTCTCCCGTATCTGTAGGAGCCAAGGGCAGACCCAGGGCCGTGGCAGCCTGAGAGCGGCTGTTGGAGGCCAGCCACGTAATATTCCCTGTTTCAATTCAGCTGGGAGGAAAGAGAGCTGGAACACTCCTTTTCCCTTCTCCGGGGAGCGCTGCGAGGCAATGGGGTGCTGGGCTGCCCAGGGACTGCGGGGCACGCAGCTGGAGGGAGGCAGGGAGGTCACACACACCTCTTATCGCTCCTCTGTTTGTCCTCGGGAAGGTGAAGGACTCTCCCTCCCCGCAGGGCTGGGGGGGCTGCCCGAGTTATTCCCAGCGTGCAGAAGCGTTGGAGCACCCAAAAGCTCCCAGTGCTCCCCACGTCCCACAGCCACCATCCGTATCCTACCTCTCCACCCTCCTTTATTGCACTGGTAAAAGCCAATAACGAGTAAAACCCCGTCAGCAGCGACCGCCTGGCCCCGGCGGGCTCCGTGCACCGGGACCGGGACTGCCCCCGAGCCCGGCAGCCTCACGGCTTTTCCAAGCTCGGGTATTTCTTGCGCAGGACGGAGACCTGGTCCTTGAAGAGGACGGGGTCGAGGCGCAGCTGGGAGGACACCAGGGGCATGGAGCCAAACCAGTCTGCCAACTGGTTGAGGCAGTCCTGCCGCTGGGAGAAACGCCGGCTGCCGGCCGTGCCCTTCGCCCTGGCAGGAGCGGAGTGCGGGGCTGAGGGGCTCGGCTGCCCGGGCGGGGGGGTCCCCGCAGCCCCATCCCCGCACTCTGCCTGCTGGGCCACCCCCTCCTTGTGCTGCTTCCGCTGGGTCACCTTGATGGGTGGCAGCTTGGTGACAGCGGCCACCAGGACGTTCATCAGGATGTCCTCGCAGGCGGCCAGCCCGTCCACCAGCTCCCGCAGCCCCGCGGGCAGGTACTCGGTGAAGAGGCTGTGGTAGTACCTGGGAAGGGGGAGAACGGGGTGAGGGGAGAGATGTGACCGAGCCCCCCGGCCCCACCGGCCCCTCTCGGCCGGGTACCTGTGGTAGAAGGCGGCGGCGGTGAGGACGATGGAGATCTCGTTGGTCCCTTTGGAGGTGTAGCCCCAGCGCCCCTGCTCGGCGTCCCAGAAGTGGCTCTGCGTGGGGAAGCCCACGATGCGCTCGGGGAAGCTGCGCCACACCAAGAAGGCAAAATCCACCTGGCACGGGGTGGGCACGGTGTCACCCACTGCGGTGTCACCCACTGCGGTGTCACCCACTGCGGTGTCACCGCCGCGGGGACCTGCGGGAGGGGATCACCGCTGCCCCTGCAGGACGTGGGGACATGGGGACAGCCCTGTGGTGAGCACTGAGCAGCCGAGGGAGCCGGGACCGCGGGCTCACCTCGCTGGTGGAGAGGCTGGTGTCCTCGTCCAGGCTCAGCACCGCGTCCGTCTGGATGGCCTCGAAGGGGAAGAAGCGTTCGCTGAGCTATGGGGGAGGAAGGACAGGTTGGTGCCGTGGGGTGGCTGCTCCGGCTCCCTGGCCGTGCCCCAGATCCCTCCCCGCGTCCTGCCCCTCTCACCTTCCCGCTGCCCTGGATGATGGTCAGAGGCACGGCGCTCTGGGGCCACTTCCCGCTCGGGGGTGGTGGCTTTTCGCAGCTCCACAGGACCACGATCTGCAAGGGGAAGGGGTTTGGTGGGTTCTCTACTCCAGCCCAGACCATCCCAAAACCATCTCATGGCGGTTTGGAGCAGGATAAACTCCCAGGTGGTCCCGTCTCCACCCCAAAGGGATTGGGACACAGCTCTGCCCACCAAAGGCGACACCATCAGCCACTCCGTCCACCCCAAACCCACAGGACCCAGCCCCATCATTCCGCTGGACACCCGGGAGCTGCACCGGCTGTCGCGGGACTCAGCTCCTCCCACCTGGGCGCAGTATTGGGATCCAGAGACGGCTTGGATGAGCCTGAGGATGGTCTGTGACAGGGACCCTGCTTGCGAGGCCACCCGGATGAAAGCCGTGAACTTCTCGGAAGGGCTGTAGCCTGAAAAAAGAGTGAAAAAGGGAAAGGAGAGGCGTTGTGGCATGCCCCGAGTTTGCCGTGCTCAGCTGGGGCAGGCAGGATCCTACCTTGCTGCAGGTAGTAGAAGGGAAAATCCCCGAGGTGGGTGGAGAAGTCAGGCAGGACCAGGAGCCCCCCGGGCAGCGCGTTCCAGAGGAATCGGGAGCGGGAGCGGTGTGGAGACAGCCGGTCCTTGATGATCTGCAGGAGGCCCGAGTGATGCTCCCAGAACCCCGGCTGTGAGCCTGGCAGCTGGGGAGGGGGGTTCGGGGGGCTCACCTCCAGCGTGGTGTGCACGATCTTGTCCACGGAGGAGAAGTAGGCATCCCACAGGAACTGGGTCTGCTGCTGGAAAGCCAGCACACGCTCCGGGTGGATGCAGCGCACGGCAGAGGGGATCTGTGCCGGGGGGAGCAGCGAGGTCCTCACCTCAGCTTCCCCCCAAACCTCGTCTCTGTCCCCTCCAACCATCCCAACCGTCCCAAGGGACATCCCTGTAAGGATGTGGTGCCATCCATGCTCCCTCTGCGGGGCTGCATCTCCTCTCCCTGGCGCAGGATGGGGCCCGGCATTCCCAAGGGTTTGTGCCTGGGAAGATGCTTCCCACCTTCCCCCCGACATGAACAGAGCCCCGGGACTGCAGCTGGAGCGGGACCCCCACTCCAGGCTGGGTCAGACCCTCCTGCATCTGCCCACAGGAGCACTGCCAGGCTCAGCTGGGGGCTGGTGCCCGGCGTGGGGCAGGATCTGGAGCCGGTACCTGCAGCAGGAGCCTCTCGCTGCCCACCACAGCGGCTCTGCCCCAGTCGATGACCTCGGCGAAGGGCAGCTCCCAGCCGTCACTCAGCAGCACCGGGATGCAGGCGGCCTGTGGAGGGACCCCGCAGGCTGAGACAGAGCCCCCAGAACCCGGTGAGAGGATCCCTCGTCCCCCTGTACCTGCAGAGCCTCGAGGAAGCGGAAGGAGCCCAAGCGCCGGCCCCGGGGCACGATGCAGAAGGTGGAGTTGTGCAGCAGCTCCTGGTAGTCAAACCTGGCGTGGGAGATGGGGTGGGGGTCAGGCATGGCCCCCTCCCCTCCTGTGAGCATCCCGGGAGGTGCTGCAGGTGTGGAGCCAGCCCAGGGCAGCGTTAGGATCGGTTCGGACTCATTTTGGCTCTGAGCATCCCCGGTTTTGTGGGAGCAGAGATCTCCTGGGTGATGAAGGGATGTACCTGGGCATCCCCTAAAGAAGGGGGGTCAGGATAGGACCCCAGCGCGTTTCGAAGGCACGACCCAGCTCCTCCCACCCTCCAGCAATGACAGCCCACGCAAGGCCACCACCCGAACCCCCGAGCCCGAAACTGCAGCGACTCCTGTGCCGTGCCCGGACTTGCTGGGCAGGACCAGCCCTGCCTGCCCTGGCAGCGTTCGGGGGGGGCAGTGGGTGCCAGCAGCGTGTTCCCCCCCGGCCGGGCTCGCCCTTGGGGCTGTCAAAGCCCCTTCTGTGCCGTGCTGGGGAGAGGCTCGGCCTCTGCCGGGTCCCTGCGGCCGCGCCGGAAAATCCAATATTGACTTTAGGTCGGGACAGACCCCGTCTGTTCCTGCCCGCAGGGAGGGGCAGCCGGTCCTGGATGGGCTGGGGGGGACTTGCATGGTCCATCCGGGTGGGTGGGAGGCTGAAAAAGAGTCCTTGAAATGTGTTGGTCCCCAGGAGGTCCCTGTGGTGCCAGGCTGGGAGTTGAGGCTGTGTCACCTCCGTGGCTGCTGGAGCACTCTGGCGCGTCCCGGCGCTCTGGGGTGTGGGAAATCAGCCCCAACGCCAAGGCACAGAGTTTTACAATAAAATCCGCCTCTGGGTGAACCTCCCCAGTGCCTCCAAACGATGCCAAGACCCTTGACCCGTTAACACTCAAATTCCTGCCCGGGTAACCGGAGAAGTGACAGCGGCTCAAGCAGCGCCCAGATCCCCCCACCATGAAACCACAGCAGCGACAGCCACATCCCCGGGGTGTCACCGGCTGTCACCTCTCCTCGGGGACCCCGGACCCTGCCATGACCTTCTGGCAGCTCGGGGGGGCCATTCCCGCTGCCAGGGCTGGGTGGGCAGCGGGACCCGTCCCGAGGGGCGGTTTCTCCTCTCGGGCAGCCGGTGCGGTGGGGAGGCTGGCGCCGGCCGGGCTGCGGGGCCGGAGCCTCCCGATGGAAATACTGCGCTCCTGACGCGCTGCGGTTTCCGGGCAATCGCCGTCAGGGCTTCCTTGTTTTGTCAGGAGCCGGGACGAGCGCCCGCCGAGCTCCCTTCGCCAGGCCCCTCCGCGGCTCCGGCCGGGCACGGTGCCACCGGCACCGCTGAGCCTTTCCCAGCCCGCACTGACTGCTCCGAGCGCGGGGCAGCGGGGCCGCTCCGCAGCGCTGCCACAAGCCGCCCTTTATCCCAGAACAGGACCGGATTGTTTGGGGCAGCCCCTCGGGAGTGAGGAGGATGATGGAACCTCCAGCAGGACCTTCCTCTGCTCCCCGAGCTGCCTGCACCGTGCCAGCACCGGGCGTACCGGGTGCTGCCGGGGTCTCACTTTGTCCCCTCCCTGCTGGCCTGTCCCCTGTCCGAGTCTGGGAACATCTCCCCGGGCAGGAGGGCATCAATCCCCGCGGAGGTCGGGCACAGCCGGCTCTGATGGAGGTGCCGGTGTTTTTCTGCCCGGTGTCCCTCAGGGATGAGCAGGGAGGCTCGGGGTCACACATGAGCACGCTGCCCTGTGCCACGTGTTCCCCGTGGATCCTGCCCAAAGCCATCCTGGGAGAGGTGTAAATCTCCCTGTATTTGCAAACAGCATTAGGGGATTACCTGGGTGGGCGGATGGGGGGGAATTCTCATCCCACTGCCCCTTGGCACAGCGCGGGGCTGACCCTGGGCCCCCTGCCCTGCCAGCCCCGCTGTCCTGCCGTGCCCCATCCCAAAAGGACTTTGCTGCA